GACCGTTAAACATAAATTTCCGTGCGCGCGAGCTCTTGTAATACATAGCATATATGGGCAAAAACATGCCTATGCAAAATCCATTGTAGCTCTATAGGATGCAAGGTGACCCCAATTTCTTTTCATATTTTGATAGAGTATGAATTGGAGATATGATTTCATGTCCCATTTGACCCTCAATTAACTCATGACGTCATCATAATGGCCTCCGAACTCAAAGTTCCAATTTGCATATTATGACGTCAGCATATTTTTTTAAAATTGATTGTATCTTTGTAAAAATTGATCGATTTTCTTCAAAATTTTGATTTGTTTTAGCTGAGACAATTTTCTACAAAAACAGTTGATGTTATCCCTCAATTTGACAAAGGCATCATGGCATATTTTTGCGATTAAAGGAGGCATGTCAATTTTTCACATTTTACGTGTATTCTCTATGGGACATGACTTTTTCTCAAAACTGGATTCTACATTCCCGTCTTTCGCGAGTAATATCTACGCCGTTTTAGCTTCGTTTACGCTGAACTTCGAGTATGTTGTAGCTGAGACAATTAGCTATCTCAAATTTGCACTTTATTTTGTCTCAAATTTTAGTTGAACCAGCCCACCTATACTTGTTCCAAACAAGTATTACAAATCTAGTTATTTATATATTTTTCTTATTTCTAACCACTTTTTTGTTGGCAAGATAACTTGGAAATGGCTCAATCAAATAATTTGAAATTTGGCACACATATGTATAGGCATATGTACAAAGCACAATAACGTTTTCAACATTGACCTTCACTGATGACGTCATCTAGGCGCCATTTTGTAAAATTTTACGAAAATCAACTCCTGATCATATCTTCACAACCAAAAGGTATTTCTGATTCATATTTATCATGATCAGGGTCAATATCCGTCCGGTCAATTTCAGGTCAAATAACGCGCGCGTGCGCGTACGTCCGCGCGTCAATGCGCGCGCAAAATTTTGAAATGCTCAAAATCGTCTCAAAATCATTTTGCATACGTTATAGGCCATTCTAAGCATTTTTTAAAAAATCGCGCACACGCGCATGCGCGCGCGTTTTCGCGCGTAAAACTATTAGACACCATAGAATCGACATTTTTTTTCTTTCATAATATTCCACATATTCTTACAAACAAATTGATACCATGTTTGTCTCTTTATGACTATAAATAATTGAATAATCGACCGTTTAACATAAATTTCAATGCGCGCGAGCTCTTGTAATACATAGCATATATGGGCAAAAACATGCCTATGCAAAATCCATTATAGCTCTTTAGGATGCAAGGTGACCCCAATTTTTTTTTCATATTTTGAGCGAGTATGAATCAGAGATATGATTTCATGTCTCATTTGACCCTCAATTAACTCATGACGTCATCATAATGGCCTCCGAACTCAAAATTTCAATTTGCCTATTATGACGTCAGCATTTTTTTGGAAAATTGATTGTATCTTTCTAAAAATTGATTAATTTTCTTTAAAATTTTGATATGTTCTAGCTGAGACAATTCTCTACAAATCCAGTTGTCACAATTTTTCATTTTGACAAAGGCATCATGGCGTATTTTTGCGATTAAAGGAGGCAAGCTAATTTTTTCACATTTTGCGTGTATTCTCTATGGGACATGACTTTTTCTCAAAACTTGATTCTACATTCCCGTCTTTCGCGAGCAATATCTACGTCGTTTTAGCTTCATTTACGCTGAACTCCGAATATGTTGTAGCTGAGACAAAAAGCTATTTCAAATGTACCCTTTATTTTGTCTCAATTTTTTGTTGGATCAGCCCACCTATACTTGTTCCAAACAAGTATTACAAATCTAGTCAGGTGGGCTGTATAACGTACAGACCACCTTATAATTTCGTTAGAATTGCCTTTATTTATTTATTTATTTATTATTTATTTTTCTTATTTCTAACCACTTTTTTGTTGGCAGGATAACTTGAAAATGGCTCAATCAAAAGCCTTGAAATTTAGCACACATATGTATAGGCATATGTACAAAGCACAATAACGTTTTCAACATTAAACATTACTGATGACGTCATCTAGGCGCCATTTTGTAAAATTTTACGAAAATCAACTTATGATCATATCTTCATAACCAAAAGTTATTTCTCATTCATATTTATCATGATCAAGGTCAATATCCGTCCGGTCAATTTCAGGTCAAAGAACGCGCGCGTGCGCGTACGTCCGCGCGTCAATGCGCGCGCAAAATTTTAAAATGCTCAAAATCGTCTCAAAATCATTTTGCATACGTTTGAGGCCATTTTAAGCATTTTATAAAAAATCGCGCACACGCACATGCGCGCGCGTTTTCGCGCGTAAAACTATTACACAACATAGAATCGCCATTTTTTTTTCTTCATAATATTCTACATATTTTTACAAACAAATAGATGCCATGGTTGTTTCTTTATGACTATTAAAAACGGAATGATCGACCGTTAAACAAAATTTCCGTGCGCGCGAGCTCTTGTAATACATAGCATATATGGGCAAAAACATGCCTATACAAAATACATTGTAGCTCTTTAGAATGCAAGGTGACGCCAATTTTTTTCATATTTTAATAGAGTATGATTCGGAGATATTTGTTCATGTCTCATTTGATCCTCAATTAACTCATGACGTCATCATAATGGCCTCCGAACTCAAAATTCCAATTTGCATATTATGACGTCAGCATATTTATAGAAAATTGATTGTATCTCTGTAAATATTGATCGATTTTCTTCCAAATTTTGATACGTTCTAGCTGAGACAATTTTCTACAGATGCAGTTCTAATTATTCTTTATTTTGACAAAGGCATCATGGCGTATTTTTGCGATTAAAGGAGGCATGTCAATTTTTCACATTTAGCGTGTATTCTCTATGGGACATGACTTTTTTTCAAAACTTGATTCTACATTCCCGTCTTTCGCGAGCAATATCTACGTCGTTTTAGCTTCATTTACGCTGAACTCCGAATATGTTGTAGCTGAGACAAAAAGCTATTTCAAATGTACCCTTTATTTTGTCTCAATTTTTTGTTGGATCAGCCCACCTATACTTGTTCCAAACAAGTATTACAAATCTAGTATATTTTTCTTATTTCTAACCACTTTTTTGTTGGCAAGATAACTTGGAAATGGCTCAATCAAATAATTTGAAATTTGGCACACATATGTATAGGCATATGTACAAAGCACAATAACGTTTTCAACATTGACCTTCACTGATGACGTCATCTAGGCGCCATTTTGTAAAATTTTACGAAAATCAACTCCTGATCATATCTTCATAACCAAAAGGTATTTCTGATTCATATTTATCATGATCAGGGTCAATATCCGTCCGGTCAATTTCAGGTCAAATAACGCGCGCGTGCGCGTACGTCCGCGCGTCAATGCGCGCGCAAAATTTTGAAATGCTCAAAATCGTCTCAAAATCATTTTGCATACGTTTTAGGCCATTCTAAGCATTTTTTTAAAAATCGCGCACACGCGCATGCGCGCGCGTTTTCGCGCGTAAAACTATTAGACACCATAGAATTGACATTTTTTTTCTTTCATAATATTCCACATATTCTTACAAACAAATTGATACCATGTTTGTCTCTTTATGACTATAAATAATTGAATAATCGACCGTTTAACATAAATTTCAATGCGCGCAAGCTCTTGTAATACATAGCATATAAGGGCAAAAACATGCCTATGCAAAATCCATAGCTCTTTAGCCCTGATAGCAGACTGACGTCTTAAAGACGTCATAAATTGGTCGTAAAGTGGTAAACACGTCGTACGTCGTATGGACGACGTGATTACGACGTCATTATGACGTCTTTAAAAGACCAATTTTTCCAATATTATTTTTTGTCGTATTGACGACGTCATAACGACGTCATAATGACGTCTTTAAAGGACTAATTTTTTAAAGATATTTTTTGTCGTATTAACGACGTCATAAAGACGTCATTTTGACGTCTTTAAAAGACTATTTTTTCCAAGCTAATTTTTGTCGTATTGACGACGTCATTATGACGTCTTTAAAAGACTATTTTTTCCAAGATAATTTTTGTCGTATTAACGACGTCATAAAGACGTCATTTTGACGTCTTTAAAAGACTATTTTTTCCAAGCTAATTTTTGTCGTATTGACGACGTGCTAACGACGTCATTATGACGTCTTTAAAAGACTAATTCTTCCAATGTAATGTTGTCGTATTGACGACGTGATAACGACGTCATTATGACGTCTTTAAAATACTAATTTTTCCAAGCTAATTGTTGTCGTATCGACGACGTCATTATGACGTCTTTAAAAGACTAATTTTTCTAATGTAATGCTGTCGTATTGACGACGTGATAACGACGTCATTATGACGTCTTTACAAGATTATTTTTTCCAAGCTAATTTTTGTCGTATCGACGACGTCATTATGACGTCTTTAAAAGACCAATTTTGTCCAATGTAATGTTGTCGTATTAACGATGTGATAACGACGTCATTATGACGTCTTTAAAATACTATTTTTTCCAAGATAATTGTTGTCGTATTGACGACGTCATTACGACGTCATTGTGACCTCTTTTAAAGACTATTTATTCCAAGATAATTGTTGTCGTATCGACGACGTCATTACGACGTCTTTAAAAGACTAATTTTCCAATATATTTTTTTGTCGTATTGACGACGTCATTACGACGTCATTATGACCTGTTTGAAAGACTATTTTTCCAAGATATTTTTTGTCGTAAGAACGACGTTATAACGACGTCAATAATAATAACTCTAATAACTTAATTTTGTCCAAGATAATAATCGGGTAAAGACTACAACATCTAATATGAGCATAAGTCAAAGTAAATAGGGCAATTATCAGAATTGAAAATAGGGAACAACTCCCCCCCCCCCCCCCTCAAATGTCATTAGTCATTATATAATAGTGGACCAATTTACAGATTGTGCACCAAGGTCTGCAATACCGATCAAGACTATACATGCTCGCATCTAGTTTCATGCTATTTCAAACGGGAGTGTGTACGTCTTTGAGTGTGTACGTACGTGTGCAGGTACGTACAGTATACTCAAGGCAAGGACTACACTGTACTGCACTAGAACTGTGCGCGCGATGTGTATATTTGAATTCAGAGCGAAAAACCCGTTGCATGAAGTATCATCCTCTCGTTTTCTCCTGCAAATTTACAGTATGGGTAAGTCCTAGAATTACCTAATTTATTTACAAAAAGTACATAAATCTATAGTTACTGTTTTTCGTTCTGAAAAGTTGATATGTAGACTCTACTGTAATGTATGATCTTATGTCAGTGATAGTGAGCTCGGACTTTCAACACTTGCTGACAAGATTTGAAATGTATGATCCCATATACGTATTTTTATGTAGGGTCTTGATTGATGGGATGCATGGCATGGGGCATCATTTAAAGCAAAAAAGTTTACTCATTTGCCTACACATGGGCTGCATGGCTTTAAAGGGAAATCTAACTCGAATATACAACTGCTCTAAAACTAAAAGAAAGCAGAAAAATAAGAGAAGCAAACTGATGAAAGTTTTGGCACTAGACCCGGCCCTACTGCTATATCACACCAAAGACGGATAATACATGCAGTCACGCGTGACACAGTGTGAGAGTGTCTACTTTATTTCAAGCAATACTGTAGATCTTACTGCAGACTTTTTGACCAGTGACCCATAACTCTGGAGTGGAGAGAGTCCTAAAAGAGAGTCCTAAAAATCTAAAACTTCTACATCTAGGCCTACCCCAAATCAAGCAAATATTCATGAAATGTTCAAATAACGCTGGTCATGATTTAAAAGTCGTTATGTTTCTAACCTGTTTCTGGTCAATTTTTTTATTTTGGGGGGAGTATTTTTCGGAAAAACGTTGATAGTAGTACACTTTCTCACAGGTTGCACGGCAAACCGCTGCACAATACAAGTGCATACAGATGGAGAGTTGCGGGGGCACGTAAGTCTGTGTGAAGTGATCTACCTCCTCATTGTACGGTAGATAACTTCACACAGGCGTGCGCCCGCCCGCAACCACCATCGGTATGCACTTGTAATGTGCAGCGGTTTGCAGTGAAACCTGTGAGAAAGTGTACTACCGGCCCGGGCCCAGATGTCTGGAAATTGAGCATTGCGTGTCGATACGTAGAGGAATAAAACAGTGACTTGTGTCACAAACATGTAACCTTAAAAAGTCGTTTCTATAGTTTTTAGACAGCAAATTTATCTTATAGGCTACCGTATACAGAAATCTTTATCTGGAAATAATTGCTTAGACCTGTAAATGGTAAACAAAATTCTTTCCCCACAGGCTGTTCAAAGAAGTTTGTAGTATATGTGTTGCACATGCATACATTATCAACCATTCGTTTTGTTTTAACTTTATTCATTTTCTCATTTGTAGGCATCCTTTTTTAACATCTTTCGTCAAAGAAGTGGATTCAAAGCACATTGTGACCTCAGTATTATTGATGTGCAACCATGCAGAAAATGCTACTTTCTCTCAACCTTGTGGATGTTCCCTAAGGATCAGCAGCCTCTTGAAACAGTTGAAGCCATTATCGGTAAATGTGTACATGTACTTCATATTATTTCTGTACACTTATTTGTCATATTGTGCATGATCACTGAGACACTGACTTACAATGTATTAGACACTACAGAATGGTTCATTTCATTTGAAAGGCTTATTTCAGTTATTTGTCCTAAGTTTCAAATATATTTATAATTCAATTCATTTTAGATCACTAAAACCTGCTGGTATGTTGCAATAACCGACAATATTATGTGAGTTTCAAACAGTGTTTTGTTACCCTTCAGCATAGGTCAAGGAGCTTTCATTCTACCCTCATCAGCAAACTACAGGAATGCCAGTTTTCAGGCAATAGCCTGAATTCAGGCCCTGGCAAGTTTTCATACCATAGTTTAGGTTTTTTGTGTACAAGCTAGCTCATTCTAGGTGATTTTTCAGGCCCTCTGATCAATTCTAACTGGCATCCCTGAAACTAGAATTGTATTGATAATTTACCAAACAAAATCCTGAATCACGTTTTGCATTGCCCACAAATGTTTAAAATCCAAAGGTGTGTTGACTTTATGTTTGTGAGCAATAAGAAATTATTTCTGATAAATCTTACCAAGCAGTACTTTTCTGACAGAATTCATTATTTAATTCATTGTTTACGTTCCAGTTTTAAAATATATGAAAGTTTTTCTTAAATTGTATTCCTTTCTTTTTGCTTTATTCATGCATTAGAATTCCTTGCGTCTATGTTCCTTGGATCTGAAAGCAGTGCATAATGCAGGAGATTCCACCCAAAAGCTAACCCACAAGTCCAAGCTGAAGTGGAATATTTCGAAAAATTTGATCTACACTCACCTGATAGCTTTACTGCTAGAGAAAGGTTATTTTTTTCACTTCATCATAGAGAGAGATTGGGGGAGGGGTGAGGTGTAACCACAAACCTGAATGGCTAAGCTGTAGAACTAAAATTCCCATTCATGTCACTTGCAATTTTAATGAATTACAGGATTTACAAACTGACATAACGATTTGGGTAAAAGTCTAAAAGATTCCAGTATTTTCCGTATATTTGTAATTACTATTTATGAAGTTGACCTGTTTCATAATGCTTATGTAGTAGACTTGATATGCTCAGTCTCATGCTCACCCCCCCCCCCCCCACCCCATCTGCTTCATATCAGTTCTTAAAATCTGTTGCAAATTATACATTGTAAGTTGGTAATAGAGAAAAATTGAGTGAGGTAAATGCAATACAAATCGATTCCATTATTAAGCAATTAAGACTTGTTCAGGTACGGCACGTGAACCTCCAACAAATTTCAAAAATGATGCTCTTTTTAATAATATACACTATGTAAAGCATATTGTACTCTATGTCAACATTAAAAAAACTGCGATTTTGACTGTTTTGCAGCATCATATCTGAGCGACCCTTAAAGGGACTTGGCAACATTGTTCAGATGAGAGAAAATGGTGCTAAGGTATTGACTTCAATGCTATATGTACACTTAAAGATAATCTGAAAGTTTGAGTGAAAAAAACCCATTATTGATGATAAAAAATGGGAACAACTGATCTGATCCATTCCTTAATTCTCTTAACTATATTATTATAATTGGCCTGTTTTATATCTTATTTTCATGGAAAAACGGTTGGGGAAAATTCAAAAATTTGTTGGGAGAATGAAGTGTTAAAGAGTGACACACAGTGGCGCCTTCAAAGAAAACCATAAATATCTTTGTGGTTTGAGAATTTTTTGGTAGTTAAAAGTCTAAAATTCTTGGATTGTATCTGTGATTTTGAGAGCACTATATGACGTACCTATATTGAATTCGCTGTTAAAATTATAAGTTAAAATTATTTTTTTGTGAAACTCCCCCCAGGAGTTTCAAACGTGCCAAATGAATGTTGTGACATTAGCAATGGAATATATCTCTTTGTGCTAAAAATTTTCAGCATGTTTGCTATTTTATCTTAAACTTGGAAATATCTTCTGAATAATTATTGCACAGTCACCTTGGAATTGCCCAACAGAGCCACTCGTACTGGCGGGAATGTTATCTGATAGAAATTGTATTTTTATACTTGAACTTATTTTGCAACAAAATGTTTTTTGATGATACCTATATTTATAAAATATGAATGTTGCCACTAATGCCTTTTCTTGTATTTAAGTCATGTGCCAGTAAGAAGCAGGTTTCTAGCACAGAGAATAGGTACAGTTGAGCTGATTTCTGCACAGTTTTCAAATATGCTGTATCGCCAAATGTGAACATCGTGGTTTCAACGGGCAAGCAACCATCATCAGAAAACTCTGCAGGTATCAGTGAAGCTGTCCCTGTTCCCCTTGCTGCCAACTTGTTCCTTTTGAGTGTAAGAAATAACTTAGCTAAGCCATGTGTTTATCATTTGTGCCATTTTTCTCTTGTGTGTGATTTAGATTGTATAGTTTTATACTTTATACTGAATTCTTGCCATAAACTTAGATATTCCCCTTTTATTTAACAAGTATTGATCTTTCATGCTCAGGAATTGCTTCCAACAACCTTTTGTTTTATGTAATAGTCTTTATCTGCATTAAAGTCTTGGGGTTGTGAGGAGCAGTGTTGCAGCATGGAGACGAGGTAGAGCTGCACTGATGAATGCCCAGCTTTCCACTGTGCTGTTTTGCTGAATATGAGGAACTTCCTAAGTCTGCTGTTTTCTTGTCTACTAAACAACTGCGGGTATCAGTGTAGCTTTACCTAGTCTCTATGCTGCTAACCTGCTTCTCACAACCGCAAGACTTATAAGTTACCAGGTAAGCCAATATATGTCATAGTTTCTTGTAACTGAATTAAATTTGAAATGAAGTAGCACAATTTATAACAAAAAAAATATCTTTGTGATGGCCTGTTAACTTTCTTAAAATCAATTATGAGACTGACAGAAATACACTAGGTATTTATACAGCATGTTTTGGAAGAAGTGTCAGGATGGTGATGGAAAGATTCTGTATGTATAGAAGACAAGTTAAATAGAAGAAGGTATAAAAATAAATATTCTATATTTTTATTATCCATTTTGATACCATATACATGTACATTAAAAATATGAAAATTACTTTCTGTCTGGCATGTGTATATATTATGTGATGCAATATTAGTTGCTCTATTTTTATTGTGTGAATGTTCAGAATGTATTCATGAAGTGACTTTTACACTTTCTTCCTTGATCAGGTGGTCATATAGATGTCATTTAGAGGACAAAGAAGACGTAAAGATCATGAAGGGATAAAAGATACATCGAAATGACCAGTAAGATGTAAATATCACGTCAAAATTTGATGTCCATACAACGTATACACCTACAGACGTCTTTCTTGGGTAAAAGTTGACGTCTTAAAGATGTCTTTCTTTGACTAATAAGACGTTAAAATCACGACAAAATATGACGTCCCTATGATGTCTTCCTGTAGTACAAGGTGACGTCTTAAAGACGTCTTTCTTTGACTAAAAGATGTAAATATGACGTTCATACGACGTCTTTCTATGGCACAAGTTGACGTCTTAAAGACGTCTTTCTTTAACTAATAAGACGTAAACATCACGTCAAAATATGACGTCCTCATGACGACGTACGCGGGTGCAAAATCATGTCTTTTTGACGTCGTGTTATGTCGTCTTAAAGACGTCTTTTTTTAACTAAAAGACGTAAATATGACGTTCATACGACGTCTTTCTATGGCACAAGTTGACGTCTTAAAGACGTCTTTCTTTGACTAATAAGACGTAAAAATCACGTCAAAATATGACGTCCTCATGACGACGTACGCGGGTGCAAAATCATGTCTTTTTGACGTCGTGTTATGTCGTCTTAAAGACGTCTTTTTTTAACTAAAAGACGTAAATATGACGTTCATACGACGTCTTTCTATGGCACAAGTTGACGTCTTAAAGACGTCTTTCTTTGACTAATAAGACGTAAAAATCACGTCAAAATATGACGTCCTCATGACGACGTACGCGGGTGCAAAATCATGTCTTTTTGACGTCGTGTTATGTCGTCTTAAAGACGTAGTGCAAGACGTAAATATGACGTGATATTTACCAGTCTCTGCTATCAGGGAGGATGCAAGGTGACCCCAATTTTTTTTCATATTTTGAGCGAGTATAAATCAGAGATATGATTTCATGTCTCATTTGACCCTCAATTAACTCATGACGTCAACAAAATGGCCTCTGAACTCAAAATTCCAATTTGCCTATTATGACGTCAGCATATTTTTGGAAAATTGATTGTATCTTTCTAAAAATTGATCGATTTTCTTCATAATTTTGATATGTTCTAACTGAGACAATTCCCTACAGATCCAGTGGTCACAATTTTACATTTTGACAAAGGCATCATGGCGTATTTTTGCGATTAAAGGAGGCATGTCAATTTCACACATTTTGCGTGTATTCTCTATGAGACCTGACATTTTCACAAAAATTGATTCTACATTCCCGTCTTTCGCTAGCAATATCTACGTCGTTTTAGCTTCATTTACGCTGCACTTCGAGTATGTTGTAGCTCAGACAAAAAGCTATTCCAAATGTACCCTCCATTTTGTCTCAATTTTATGTTGGATCAGCCCACCTATACTTGTTCCAAACAAGTATTACAAATCTAGTTTATTTTTCTTATTTTGACCCACTTTTTTGTTAGCAAGATAACTTTGAAATGGTTCGATCAAATGCTTTGATATTTGGCACACATATGTATAGGCATATGGACAAGACACGGTAAGGTTTTCAACCTTGACCTTGACTGATGACGTCATCTAGGCGCCATTTTGTGAAATTTTCTGAAAATCATCTCATGATCATATCTTCATAACCAAAAGGTATTTCTCATTCATATTTATCATGATCAAGGTCAATATCAGTCCGGTTAATTTCAGGTCAAAAAACACGCGCGTGCGCGTACGTCCGCGCGTCAGTGCGCGCGCAAAATTTGAAATTGCTCAGAATCGTCTCAAATTTTTTTTGCATACGTTTCAGGTTATTTTAAGCATTTTATAAAAAATCGCGCGCACGAGCATGCGCGCGCGTTTTCGCGTGTAACACCATTACACAACATAGGATCGCCATTTTTTTTTCTTTCATGATATTTCTCATATTTTTTCAAGGAATTTGATACCATGTTTATCTCTTTATGACCATTAATAACAAGATGAGCGTCAATTCAAGATAAATGTCCGTGCGCGCGAGCTCTTTTATTACATAGCATATATGGGCAAAAACATGCCTATGCAAAATCCATTATAGCTCTTTGGAATGAACCGTGACCTTCAATGTTTTTTCATATTTAGATAGAGTATGAGTCGGAAATATGATTCCATGTCTCATTTGGCCATTATAAGTGTATCGTGGCATCATCATCATACGAATTTGCATATAATGACGTCAGCATATTTATGTAACATTGATTGTATCTCTGTAAATATTGATCGATTTTCTTCCAAATTTCGATATGATGTAGCTGAGACAATTTTCTACAAGCTCAGAGTACAAAATTTTTCATTTTGATGACGTCATCATAGTGAAAATTACGATTAAAGGGCACATATCAGAAATTTCTTACGTTGCGTGTTATGCCTAAGGAAGGTGAATTTCGTTTACATCATTACATCAATGACATTGTTGTTTTTTAGCAGTATCTCGCTTATTTTTGCTCTATTTTGTCTCAAATTTTAGTTGACCAGCCCACCTATACTTGTTCCAAACAAGTATTATGTCTAGTTATTTATTTATTTTTCTTATTTTGACCCACTTTTTTGTTAGCAAGATAACTTTGAAATGGTTCGATCAAATGCTTTGATATTTGGCACACATATGTATAGGCATATGGACAAGACACGGTAAGGTTTTCAACCTTGACCTTGACTGATGACGTCATCTAGGCGCCATTTTGTGAAATTTTCTGAAAATCATCTCATGATCATATCTTCATAACCAAAAGGTATTTCTCATTCATATTTATCATGATCAAGGTCAATATCAGTCCGGTTAATTTCAGGTCAAAAAACACGCGCGTGCGCGTACGTCCGCGCGTCAGTGCGCGCGCAAAATTTGAAATTGCTCAGAATCGTCTCAAATTTTTTTTGCATACGTTTCAGGTTATTTTAAGCATTTTATAAAAAAATCGCGCGCACGGGCATGCGCGCGCGTTTTCGCGCGTAACACCATTACACAACATAGGATCGCCATTTTTTTTTCTTTCATGATATTTCTCATATTTTTTCAAGGAATTTGATACCATGTTTATCTCTTTATGACCATTAATAACAAGATGAGCGTCAATTCAAGATAAATGTTCGTGCGCGCGAGCTCTTTTATTACATAGCATATATGGGCAAAAACATGCCTATGCAAAATCCATTATAGCCAGGGAATAATTTTCCTCAAATTTTTTGATTAGCAATTTCAGCCGATGGATAAATATTTCAAATGAAATTCTGTACATTTCTATGGAAGAAAACTGCTACACAAAAGATATTTTGTATAGCAGTCATGCAAAAATGCATAGCAAATTGCGATGCGATACCAGGAAAATTATTCCCTGATAGCTCTTTGGAATGAACCGTGACCTTCAATGTTTTTTCATATTTAGATAGAGTATGAGTCGGAAATATGATTCCATGTCTCATTTGGCCACTATAAGTGTATCGTGACATCATCATCATACGAATTTGCATATAATGACGTCAGCATATTTATGTAACATTGATTGTATCTCTGTAAATATTGATCGATTTTCTTCCAAATTTCGATATGATGTAGCCAAGACAATTCTCTACAAGCTCAGTTATCACCATTTTTCATTTTGATCACTTCATCATAGTGAAAATTACGATTAAAGGGCACATAGAAATTTCTTACGTTGCGTGTTATGCCTATGGAAGGTGAATTTCGTTTACATCATCACATCAATGATATTGTTTTTTTAGCAGTATCTCGCTTATTTTTGCTCTATTTTGTCTCAAATTTTAGTTGACCAGCCCACCTATACTTGTTCTAAACAAGTATTATGTCTAGTTATTTTTATTTTTTTGTACTCTTCTAGATGATGTTCCACCTTCCATAGTGGAGCAGCCTGAATCGATTAATGGAGACCAACGTATTCCATTAACTCTAATCTGCCGAGCTACCGGAATACCAGAACCTTCGTAAGTTGCACACATAGAGGAATCTTAACGCTGCATTTATGATTGGTAGATTCTCAAACATACATTTTGTCAAGGAAAAAATATAGGTAGAACATTGTATGCAAACACCATTCCTTATGGTCTTAAAGGTAATACAAAGTTTTGGTATGGGGTCATGAATTTGGTTCAAATGAACAAATTGAAAGCATATGCGATCCTACAATATTCAGTGATCGTCGTCGCATTTGATGTAAATTTATTTGATGTAGAAGGCAATGCTTGCATTCGCCTGGATGGGGGTAATTACCTACAGTGCGACCCAGAAAAAACAAAAACAAGAATTATCGATGTTTTATCATAACTTAATCACAATTATAATTAATAAATGACACATATTTGTAAAGCTTAGATCCTCCTCTTTCATTTAAAGCAACTCCTATGATGCATATTTCCCGTAGGAGTGTTTAAAAGCAATTTGAAGGAAAGAAACCAAAAAGTCATTTGGCGGGCAGTATCTGAATTTTCAAAGAAAATTTCACATTTCTAGAAAGTTCATTTTCTGCTCTTTATATGACACCTCAATCAGGAATAACAAAGTTCTGTTTGTTTAAAGGATGCTTGCATTTCCATAATTTGATTAAACGAATTAGTTTTCACTGGCTGCCTGCCGTAGCAACAAACAGAATCGACAAAAGACTTAACTCCATTTCGTTGACGATCTGACATAGACGAAAGACTCCATTGCATGGTTGATTATCAATGAAACGGAGTTAAGTCTTTGTCAATTCTGCTTGTTGCTATGGCAGGCAGCCAGTGAGTTGCATCAAATGAAAGAGGAGGATTACAAATATGTGATTGTGATTGTGATTAAGTTATGATAAAACATTGATAATTCTTGGTTTCGTTTTTTCTGGGTCGCACTGTATAGTGATCGAACCAACACTCAACAGGCCAACTTTAGGGACACACTATCATTTTGGATCCCTCAAACAATTGCCTGCCTCGAGATCAAAAAGCATGCAGTTTGGTTTAGAAGGAGACAAAATTTTGAGAAAACTTCCTTTTTAGCAACCACAGGAGCCAACCATGCTCACCATGGGGATGGAATGGGGATTGGTAGGATGAAAGTGATAGTAGTGTTCATGTAATCATGTTTCAATGATTTAATTCAATACCAGGTACTACTGGGTGAAGGATGGTGCTTTATTTAACGTGGACAGCAATGATCGCGCTAGCCTGGATGGGGGGAACCTAGTGATCCAATCATTAACAACAGCAGACAATGGACAGTACCAATGTTTTGCTAACAATAGGCTTGGTACAGCAATGTCCAAGAAGATATGGCCATCACTGGCTTGTAAGTTGATGCCTTCATTGTTGGCATAGTGTCATATAGAATAGATGAATACGTCCTAGTGTTTTTTTTAATTGAAAAATCATATTTATAGTTGTTTGGTGGAGCCAATTATCAGGTGTTGTTCATGTTCGGGTTAAATATTGGTGTCATTATATACTCTATGTGATAGAGAGTTGGGATGTTAGGATTGTTATATTCTCTATGTGATAGAGAGTTGGGATGTTAGGATTGTTATATACTCTATGGGATAGCGAGTGGGGATGTTAGGATTGTTATATACTCTATGTGATAGAGAGTTGGGATGTTAGGATTGTTATATGCTCAATGTGATAGAGAGCTGGGATGTTAGGATTGTTATATACTCTATGTGATAGAGAGTTGGGATGTTAGGATTGTTATATACTCTATGTGATAGAGAGTTGGGATGTTAGGATTGTTATATACTCAATGTGATAGAGAGCTGGGATGTTAGGATTGTTATATAGTCTGTGTGGTAGAGAGTTAGGATGTTAGGATTGTTATATACTCTATGTGATATAGAGTTGGGATGTTAGGATTATTATATAGTCTGTGTGATAGAGAGTTGGGATGTTAGGATTGTTATAAACTCTTTGTGATAGAGAGCTGGGATGTGAGGATTGTTTTATACTCTATGTGATAGAGAGTTGAGATGTTATGATTGTTATATACTCTATGTGATATAGAGTTGGGATGTTAGGATTGTAATATAATCTATGTGACAGAAAGTTGGGATGTTACGATTGTTAGATCTGGGATCATTGGTCAGTTTAGACATAGAGTTCCAAGTCGTACATAAAACCCTACTTGTTTCTTTGCTGTCTCCACTTTTATCTCTATAGTCATGGATCAGTTTGAGAACACTGAACCTGCAAGGATACAAGTTAGGAGGGGACGACCCCTGAAGCTGCTTTGTGGTGGATCTCCCGGCGTCCCTGACGGCAATCCTGCTCCCTTGATCTACTGGACCGATGCAACTGCCAAACCCACACCCATCACATACAACGCTCGGATTACCCAGGATCCAGAAGGGAACTTGGTCTTTTCTAATGCAATTGCAAGCGACGCTCAAGGCTACTACTGTCAAGCCATCAACAACGTTGTAGGGTCATCCCAGAGGGCAGCAAAAATCACACTCAGTGTTATAGGTAGGTGTAGCAGCTGATGAGCGTGATTGTAAGGGTTCTTTTCCAGCGTCCTGCTTTTGTGACGATAGACAGCATTATGTTCAGTTGTCATGGCAGAATGGAATAACAGAAGGCAATGACAAAGAACCTTCCATTTTCCTAACTTTAAAATGAGACCAAAATCATTCAAAATGATTAATTTTAAGGATAAAAATCAGAGATCGGAACAAACAACCCCATGCACCGCTTATTATGTATTGAAGCACCAACCGTCTATACATACATATTCAATGAATAGTTATCACACGCTGCAAATTGACTTTATGATACACATTTCTGCCTCAGGGAAATCTATTATAACACTACTGGAAGTGCATATCATGGTAAACAAAGTATTAGAAACACCCCTCAATTATTGAGGGGTGTTCACTTACGCTGGCCCGAGGCTACGGACCATTCTTGATGTTAGCATCAAGAATGCCCTCAGTTTAAATTCTTTTAAATTCAAATAAAAAAAAATAATTTTTGTGTAATTATCAAGCGTTAGCTCTCTTTCTTTAAATTTATTTAACTCAATAGAATACATTTGGATATTTTGATTCATTTTGTACTGGCCATCCGTATTCCAGTCGGCCCTTGTTGTGTTGTGTGTGTTATAGGTAAGAGCCCAGCCCTCTCTCATTGTCTCCCTTCTTTCCCTGTCCCTTTCACTCCTTCTATGTTATGTTTAATTGGTTTATGTATTTGTGCGTTCCTTTATTATTGATATACTATTTTTGCAACTATAAGTTATAGGGGGCTGCAATCTACAAGCCCAACTTTTCAGCAGTCTTTGTATAGTTACTGAAAATTAGTATGCTCATAGAATTTTAAGAATAAAATCACAATTTAGAATGCAAAACAGACCTTTTCTGACACAAAAAATATCCATTAACAAACATCTTTGAATAAAAAAAACAAAGTACATATATCTTTTGTTGCAGGAAAGATGTTAAGCTGGAAATTTGACTCAGTGTAAAAAGTCAAACATTTTTTACTTGTGTGAGCTGAGCTATAGATATGCACAAAATTTTCCCTGATGTCCCACATATAGAGATGGCTATATAACGTGGGTGCGAGAGTCCTTGACCAGGGCAGCATAAATTGGGTCCAAACAAAAAATAATTTATAGCTAATTATTAAAGTGTAGACATAATCCATTTGTCTTTATTGACAAGGTATGAAAATCATCTTTTGACTTGGTATTTTATATTTTAGTAGTTTGAAAATGAATACATCAATTATTAATCTCAGAAATGTGGTTTGACATTGCACTGTTCTCCCTTCCACAATCTGTTTACTACCCAGAATACTCTAATTGTTTGTTTGTGTTTAAACGTCTGTATTAATTACATAGTAATCACTTGATCCTAGTCTGTTACAAATGTTGTTCTTTCTCAAAAGATTGATTGTTTGACGTGCCTCCTATCTGAACTAATCCCAAAGGCTTCCCTCTCTTCTCTCATGGTGCTAGATATTTGTTAATTACGCCCTCGTTTCAGAGGTTCTACCATCAGAATTCTCTGTTTACGTTGTGGGCTGTTTCCGAAAAATTTGTTATGAACCGCCAATATTACGCATTTCAAGAAGAGGTACCAGCGAGCTGCAGGTGCAAGAAAGGAATGACCAGTGGGCCTTCATGATGCATTTTGTGGAATGCCTAACTCTCTCCTTTCGTTTTTATTTGATGCGTGCTTAACAGTTAAATCTAATTTATTACTTGAGAAATTCCCTCCTTCTAATTTCAAACTTCTCATACTAATCATCAATATTTGTCTAACATTGTTTTATTAATAGCGTTCTCTAGAAATCACAGTGCTACTCAGTAAATGCATTTTGGAGTTTGTGAAGTTTGATAAGATTGTAAATTGGCAATGTATAGATGCATTCGTTACCGATATATACATATACATCTAGGAGAGAGATTTGATATGATGCATCCTTTGACCAACACTCATAAGGACTTAAAAGAAATGTTTAACAAATTCAATAAACATGATGTAAATATTTAACCAATTTTCTTTGTTTCGTTTGTTGTATATTCATGCATGTTTGACTAACAGTGCATGCTAGTGCATGTCGTCTGCAAATTACTTACAAACATTTTTTTCATGTCAACAGATATTCTTGTAGCACCAACTTTTATATTCTCAAATATTTTATTGCAAATTGACCTTATCAACCAAGAGTTTTAAATTATATAATGTAAACTTGACTGTTGAAGTTTTTTACTTTTCCTCTATTTTGTGTTCATTATTTAAACGGCTCTCTTTGACTCCCATGTTCATTAGCGCATCATTTGTTGTGGGAAATTCAATTTAAATCTGTACCTATGAAATTTATAACATTGTAAACAAAAAAAATCAACAAAAAAATTCCACCCCCCCCCCAAAAAAAAAATACCCCCCCTTGTTTTGTGTTACCCTTTCCCTAAAGTCTTACAAATTGTGCATTTTCATCACATTTTCAATGTACATAGCATTCTACCCTTCATTGTAAGAATGCATCTTAATCAGGGAGTAACATTGAACATATTTTCTTATATATTTGGAACAAAACTATATCAAGATATAGCATTTGGATATAGATTTGTTTTCTTGCATGAGAATACTTTGGCATTAGTATTAGTAGTAGTTCTAGTAGTAATAATGAGAATCCAGGCTAACTTGGACCTATAGGGACAACTCGGCCACGCTGCAAAAACTGTCATTTTTTGTCATTTTACCCTAACCTTAACCCCATCTTTAACCCTAAACCTAACCCTTACCCTTAACCTGCAAAAACTGACCGTTTTTTGAAGCTGGGCCGAGTTGTCTCCTGTACGAGTTAGCCCAACTCAGAGTAGTAGTACATGTAGTAGTAGTAGTGATAACAGTTAAATAGTTGAAGAAAGGGAAAATAGAAGTTTGGGAGTCCAGCCGTAAATGGAGATATAAAGCTGTAAAGCTTTTATTCGATCTGCAAAAACAGAAAAAATAACAATGACAGATTTAGTACATCATTCATGTTACACAAGATACAATACAAAATATCTGAATAAACCAAGTAACTGTATCTATAAAGATTCATTTAAACACATTTTGCTCTTGTTCTATAAAATGTCAATCTTGACCTCGTCCTTAAACTATAACAAATTCAGAGTAAGCATTGGCTACAAAACCTTTTGCATTTCCTAATATGCACTTTGATGAACTCATAATTTCAGATCTTTCTTTAAACCGACTTGACTTTCCTTTAAACAAATTATTGTCAATTTGCATGAACCTAAATATCCTTATCGTGAATCCATACACAAGCTTGATTATTCAGATATTTGTTCTAAAACCTCAATATTGGATTGTCACTTTAGATGTATTGTATGACCTTCCACGGACTTTGACAGGTGCTTATTTCTGCTCACCTATGTCTATGAAAAACTGTCTTTTAAAATGTCTTTATTCAATTAAACACTGTTTGATGAATTCAACTTCAATATATGACTTGCTCTAAAACTGTGCAACCAAGAATTGTTTTAACCACAGGGTTTTTCTAGGCTAGAGATTATACACTCTATACAAACTCTAATGCCCACGCCACGCCGTCTTCTATTATAATGAAATAATAGAATTGAGCTCCGAATGAAATCAGGTTTTTTTATTGGTCCGCTAGCTTTGACTTCCACTCGGGGGAGGGGTTAGTTCAAATAGACCACCGTATTCGTGTATGAAATTATATTACTGGTATTTAAATATAAAATACAAACAAAAAAATCCAGAAATAAAGTGCTTGAACACGATTCAAATTACAATGTCACTTGGCAATTATTTAATTAATATAAATGACAAATCTCATTCATCAAATCAGAATGATAAAAATAATACAACTTATATATAAATGTCAATAAATATAATTGCAAAGTATTCTTTAGGGTAAAAGGGCGACTTATTTCTTACTTAATTAATTGCAGTCTAACGGGGAAGGGAATGGATAGGTTAAGGGAAATGAGGTTAGTAATTATGGCCACTTATCTTCGCATATATTTTGATCGCGGACTCCAGCATGGGACGGATGCGACTTGGATGAAACGGGAACGTGACTTGGACAAAACTGGAACTTGCCTTGGATTTAACTTTGATGATTTCTTGAAAGTCCTTTAGCTTTATTAACGTTAAAGCTTTGTTGCAATTACTGTTGTTCTCCGCTGAAATGGTCACAACCTAAAACTGTTGCTTCAAATTTTCCAAAGTCCGAATTTGCACACTGGATCTTGAAGGGCAGATAATTATTAGTGAGGAGAGGGGGAATTTAAGTGAAGGGTTCAGCTGAGGGGGGATTCCAAGTGAGGGGATTCCAAGTTGGGGGGATTCCAAGTCAGTCATCAAAACATTCATGCAAACTACTTTTATACCTCATTAAACAATTATACTCGGCTTTTCCTCGGATCATCGTATTGGTTATTACTGTAAAAGGGGGAAGGGGTCTAATCTTAGACTTAACTATATTGGTTCGAGGTCACCACTCATGGCCAAAGACACAGTCCTTAGAAGTTTTCTTCAAAGAGCCTTCAAAGAATAGTCACAAAGCATGAATGACCACAAAGAGCCCATCTGTTATCTAAATCCCCTTTCATAGAGCTTAATATCTCCATTATTACAGATTTATGAACGGCATAAACAGGATGGATTAATACTGTGAATGGCAATAGGCTCATAAAGGCTATACCCCAGAGTGGGAACAGGATAGCTTCAATAGATGGAGACATGCCAGCACATTTTATAAATACATCTATAACCAGACAAAGAAAGATACAGCAGAAAGAGACAAAGATAAAGAGAGAGAGAGAGAAAAAGAGAGGGAGAGAGAGAGAGAGGGGGTCACATATTGTTTAAAGGGAGATAACTATTCTTCGCTACAAAACCATTATTATTATTATCATTATCACCATCATCACCATTATGATTTTTCAGTGGAAGAGTCCAAGTTGATGTACCAGTGTCTCTTGGAAGGCATTGATCTTCAATCACCCATTCCCTTGGATAGGATTTAAAGCTGTGGGTTCACTAGTTCCTCATTTACGAGCTTCTATTTGCTTTTACCGGTAGATGACTTACCAATCATCAATATTTCCATGTTGGAGTATAACTAAACTTGTTTATCATTTACTGTACGATTTCAGATTTGCCAGCAGTTGAACGTAGAGCCAGGTTAGTCACTAAACCAGCAGCAAGCGAAATCGCCATGAGAACTCAGTTTTTTATGCTGAATTGCATTGCTTATGGATAGTAAGTATGCTTTAAGGTTTACTCTCCATCCCCCTCTCTCTCTCTCTCTTTCTCTCTCTCTTCCTTTTCCTATTACATTGCTTTAGTTGAAGACAAATTTCCCCTTTCCTTAATTTTTCCAACTTCCCTCTTCCATACGGGAGATATATTTTTCCTTACTTTTCTGGCATATACATGTTATATTTAACAATATTGGTACACATACATTCTAAAAAAGTTTCAATTCTAATGGCTAAAAAAAATTATTGGAGGGCATAACATAGTGAATATACCATTTTTATAATGCAATCAAATTTAAAGCACAAATCTTTGGTAAGTGTGTTTTGTTACAAATTATTCAATTCACCTATTTTGAGTAATTGTATTTCAATAATCGGAATGAAATTTGCATACATTAGTTGTCTGTTGGACAAACATGGTTTGTCTTACCTAACAACACGTAATGTGTGCAATTCGCATGCTGACTATTGAAATAATTTATAACAAGGCACTTGAAAAAGATTTGTGCATTAAATTTGATTACATTACAAACATGGCCTATTGCCTGAAAATATGTATCTCCCTCTCTCCCTCTCTCTCTCTCTCTCTCCCTGTCTCTTTATCGCTTTCTTCCTTTCTATCTGTCTCCAGCCCAACCCCTGTAATCACATGGAAGCGTGGAGAGGAGCAGCTACAGTCTGGAGGACGAGTATCTATTGAATTTTCCGGGCACGACCTGGTCATCTCCGCTGTTGAGAACAGTGACGAGGGAACATATACATGTGTTGCATCAAACACGAGGGGGGATGATGTATTCAGCACAGTAGTTACTGTGGAATGTAAGTTGAGAGTCAAATAATGATGTATACAAAAAATAAATTTATGATTGTAAATGCTTAGTTTAATACTAGATCTTGATAGTAGTGTGGTGTAACCGGGTTCTGCCGGGGTAGCGTTCTGCCTTGCAGTCTGTCAAAACCCGGTCCACGCTCTCGACAATCATTCATCAACTATATCTCTCAGTGGGCTCTCACAAAAGTATATCGTGTAAGAATAACATGGACTAGCTCTCATTTTACTCACTCCCGCAATCACTGAATGTCCGACAGGAACTCAAGAAACAACACTTGCACAGTATCTGCAGTTCAAGTAACTTTATCTAGTTTCTTGTACCTGTCGCAACGACAGCTCAACATTGACCCAACAACAGCTTGACGCTGACTGACTGACATCTCACGATAGTACATGTATATATTTCACAATTAACTATAACGCCCTCTACGTCTTACTAAATTACTGGACTTAATTATGGTACAGTAGTAACAACATCTGTGCTTTTATAAAGTCTTACTCTGTCCAGTGAATAGGATACAATGTTAGTAGTTGTGTATTGACACCTTCTTTAGAAGTCCATTTCATTTTCTTCTACTCTGTTATATATTGAACCAGTTGCATAAGTGGTGTGGGATATGAATACTTTTTTAAGGGTCTAATTGACTACAGGAAATGAAGTATTACAGCGATATCATACAAATCATGAACTTGAGTAAATGTTTCTCTTTTATAAAACATTTAACCAAACCACTTTGTTACTTTTCTCTTCATTTTCGCTTGTTTAGCTGCGCCATATTTCCCAGCCCCACCCTCCGATGAAACCAAGGCACCTGGTGAATCAGTAGACATTGAATGCCGTTCTGAGGGTGTTCCAGCACCCACTGTCGATTGGTTTGTTAACGGACAATCTTGGGCTGATTTTGAATGTAAGAGCAGCTATAGGGCTTTCCATTTCAGTGTGGAACCAAGAGGACTTCCTCTGTTCTGGCTGCAGTTTTATTCATTATTAATGTAAAAAGAACAGTTTGTCTGTTCAAATACAGAAGGGCGTTATTTTAAAGTATATGAGTTAACACCCTTCTAGCTTCAAAGAGATGAATTCATCCTATTTTGTATGATACAAAATTATGTTATGATATTGAAAGTTAAAAATAGACTAAAGTTAAAGTGATAAGTATAGGTAGCAAACTACCAGTAGTACTAATAAAGGGCCCCTAGCTAGCTTCTATCAAAATGTGCTTAAAATTGAAAAAAAAAGCATGTAGAAGAGTTTTTGATGGAGATTCCTAGTTTGAAAATTGTTTTTCTTAGAAATCATCAATAATTCTGGAATCTAGCTTACGCACGGCTCAGTGCAGCAAAAGTTATCTTATTTGACAAAAAAATTATCTGACAGCTTATTCGACACAAGTTTCATTTGACACATTCGCTAAAATGTTATTCAACAAATTCAACAAGATTTTATTGACATGTAGGCTAGGCATGCAGCGCAGTGCAGCACAGCTAGCTAGCTCACGCCATCTTACAGTGACGAAATTGTGATAATGATGGATTGGAAGATTGGTAATCTGACAAAGTTTTGTAGTTAAAATCTAACTTATTTGGTAAAAATTAACATTGGGTGTAGAGGATATATAGAAGGTATATCTGAAAGGATGATTCAAGGACCACGAAAATCAGAACATGTCATTTTGACTTTGGTTCACCTAAAAAGTAAACCGTGTACAGTACTGGCACTGGTGGTAGTGGTTGTCTCTGTCTCTAGAGTCTTAGATAGGTGACGGGCATGGTGAAGCCCCCTTCACTGATCTTCTGAGTTCTTCTCTTCCCTCGAGATAATCTGCCTCCTTCAATACTGAAGATTCTTGCAGATGCCATATATACTCGGCCTGATTGGGGTGTGCAGGTGGACCACTACACCGGGGTTTCTCCCTACTCTTATATGAATAGTGCAGTGGGTTCTTAACGTGCAAGAGTGTTGACTCTCGTGTACACGGGGCCTCCATTTAACGTCCTATCCGAGGGACGGAGTGTTTTACACTTAACATAACCTGCGTCTATGAAACAAGGGGAGGGGCACGTTAACACACAACGCAGGCTTCAGTCATCCGCCTGGGTGGGATTCGAACTTGAGATATTTGGTTCGACAGGCAGACGCTTTACTGACTGAGCCAACTCACCTCCTCAGTTTAATATGCCGCATCGGGTAGTGATTTATGAAGAATAAAGATTATTATTATGATTTTTGCTTTGTAATATAAAAGAGCATTCTTAACTGAATTTATTGAGATAGAATAGTAAAACAGCATGTGTTTGACTTAGAGTTCTGGATGAGGTAACTTAGATATGATTAATAAAAGTTCATAATTTTGAAAGCAAATTTACAGATAAAACGTTGTATATACACCTGGGGGTGGGTGTTGGAGGGGGTTTCCTCTCCCACCCTGAGAAAATTTGAAATTGCTACCTCGCCAGGCATGTTATGATGCATAAAAGTTCTTAGCTTTGAAAGCAAGGTGGGTATGGGAGGGGGATCCCCCTCCCACCCTGAGAACATTTACAGAATCTAAATCTCCCCAAGCATGATATGATGCGTAAACGTCCCTAATTTTAAAAGAAGATTTATAAACTAGACATATAATACTTGTTTGGAACAAGTATAGGTGGGCTGGTCCGACTAAAATTTGAGACAAACTAGAGCAAAATTAAGCGAGATACTGCTAAAAAACAATGTCATGTAGATTAATGATGTGATCGAAATTCACCTTCCATAGGCATAACACGCAACTTAAGTAATTTCCAATATGCGCCCTTTAATCGTAATTTTCACTATGATGACGTCATCAAAATGAAAAATGGTGCTGTCTGAGCTTGTAGAGAATTGTCTTAGCTACAACATATCAAAATTTGGAAGAAAATCGATCAATATTTACAGAGATACGATCAGTTTTACATAAATATGCTGACGTCATAATATGCAAATTCGTATTTAGAGTTCCAAGGCCATTATCATGATGTCACAATACACTTAATCGCCAAATAAAATTTGAGACAAAATAGAGCAAAAATAAGCGAGATACTGCTAAAAAGACAAGGTCATGTAGATTCACGATGAGAACGAAATTAATGATGATGATGATGATGGTGATGATGATCATCATGATAATGATGATGATAATGTTGATGATGATGACGATGATAATGATGATTATGATGATAATGATGATGATCATGACCAGGTGCTCATCTACAACAGTAGTATCTGACGACCTGAAGAAAGCAACAAGAGAATATAACCAGCTATAGTCAATAACTTTAGGAGTCAGCATCTCCACGAACTCATATCCACTAGCAACAGCAAACCACTGTTTAATGTGATTGACAGGATGACAGCTGAAAAGCCTCCTAAATCACTGCCCTCACATCAGTCCAGTGCTGAAATCACTCAGAAGTTCTCAAAGTTTTTTGACAATAAAATTCATCTATTGAGATCTTCATTTTCTTCCTCTTCCTCAACATCGCTGCAGTGGAAGTCAGTGACCATCGTCTTGATAAGTTTGCGCCAGTTTCCCAAGCAGATGTACTGAAGATCATCAAGTCACATAAAATGAAATCATGTGACTTAGATCCCCTACCAGTACCCATTCTTAGCCAATGTATAGAGCTTCTGGTTCCGGCCATCACGGACATAACCAACGACTCGCTAGAATGTGGAGTTTTCCCTTCAGCACTCAAGTCTGCTTTGATTCATCCCACCCTCAAACGACCATCTATGGATGCAGAAAATTTGAGAAACTTTAGACCAATCTCAAATTTGCCATTTTTGGGCAAGGTAGTAGAACGAGTAGTCTCAAATCAATTTACTGAATACCTTACTGCAAATTCCCTTCTCGCATCCCGACAGTCTGCCTATCGCAAAAATCACAGCGTGGAAACTGCGTTACTTCGAGTCCAAGACGATATACTTTGTGCTTTGGATACTGCAGATGATGCGATTCTCATACTGTTAGACTTAACATCAGCTTTCGACACGGTCGATCACTGTGTTCTTATATCCAGGTTGGAAACACGTTTTGGCGTCTCTGGAACTGCTACCAAGTGGTTTGAATCTTACATCACTGGACGATATCAACAAGTGATCATCGATGGCTCGCGATCCGATCCTACTCTGCTTAGGTGGGGGGTGCCACAAGGTTCCGTTGTCGGCCCTGTACTTTTTACATGTTATACGACACCCTTAGAGGACATCATTCATTCCCACGGTTTCTCCTCGATGATATATGCCGACGACACCCAACTATATGTTACTGTTAAGTCTGGACAAATTCCTCAAATGTTACTTAAACTGGAAGATTGTCTACATGCCATTCGCTCCTGGTTGACTGAAAACTTTCTGCTCTTGAACGACAACAAGATGGAAGTGCTACACCTGTTTTCTCACTGAAGAAGAAATACAATAGAACTCCCTCCTATTCAAATAACAAATGGTTCTGTAAATTCCTCCAAAACAGTTGTTAACTTAGGTGTTACGTTTGATCAAAACCTTTCAATGCGCCCACATGTCAATAGTATCTGTCGTAAAGCATCCTTCGGCCTGAGAAAAATTGGTAAAATTCATAAATTCCTCTCCAAGTCATCCACTGAAATCCTCGTCCACGCATTTATCAGTTCACTCCTTGACAGTTGTAATAGCCTGCTACATGGAATTCCAGAAAAAGATATGGCCAAGCTACAAAGAATCCAGAACTCTGACGTCTAGTGTCTCTCACCAAAAAACATGACCATATTACACCAACCGTTAAACAATTGCATTGGCTCCCCATTCAATTTCGCGTCCAGTTCAAAGTTCTTCTTTTAACCTTCAAGTCTTTACATGGTCATGCCCCAAATTATCTTTCTGAACTGATTCAATTATACACACCCAATAGGCCCCTTCGTTCTGCCAATCAAACTCTCTTGACCGTTAAAAAAGCAAAAACAAAATACTTTGGTGATCGGTCCTTTTCATGCTCTGCTCCACGTTTGTGGAATTCTCTCCCAGCCTCCATTCGTTGCATCTCACATATTACTTTGTTTAGATCAAAATTAAAAACCTACCTAATGGAAAATGCATACTCAACCTAGTTCTTAAATTGTTAACTATTTCTTAAATAATTGTTACTAAGTTCTTAAATTGTTACCTTACCTTGTTATCTTATGTTTCATAATTTCACTTTATATTTGTTTTCTTGTCATTACTCTGTTTAGTTTAATTGTATCAATATTGTAAAGCGCTTTGATATAAATGTCTTATGAAAAGCGCTATATAAGTAAAAGTTATTATTATTATTATTATGATCATGAGCGTGATCCTGACATCTTATTGAAAAAATGAGGGATGATTAAGATAGCATATAATCTCAACTACAATATACTCAAAAATCAACAAGATCCAAAGACAGGAATGTAAACTCCAGATTTGAGAAAAAGTCATCTGCCATAGGGATTACACGCAAAAAGTAATGGATCAAGTGAAAATAGTGTAATAATAAAGTAAAGAGGGGTGTTTATTACATTATTTGCGATTCTATGTGTTTTAATAATCAAAGGAGATGGTACAGTGCAAGGTCAAAAAGAAAGAAAAGGGAAGAAAAAAATTGTTGGAGACGCTCGGACTCGAACCAGGGACCTCGAGGTCGGAAGTCAAGTGCGTTACGGATATTCCAAAACATTTCCCATAGCGATTACACGTAAACAAAAAAAGGAATTCTCAAATCCCACTTTGCAAGTGAAATATGAGCATGATCCCGGCATCTGATCGAAAAATTAAGGGTACATTTGTGATAGCTTATTGTCTCAGCTACAATATACTCAAAGCTCAGCGAAAGCGAAGCTAAAACGACGGAGATATTGCTCGCGAAAGCCGAGAATGTAGAATCCAGTTTTGAGAAAAAGTCATGTCCCATAGAGAATACACGCAAAATGTGAAAAATTGACATGCCTTCTTTACGCCATGATGCCTTTGTCAAAATGAAAAATTGTGGCTACTGCATTTGCAGAGAATTGTCTCAGCTAGAACATATCAAAATTTGGAAGAAAATTGATCAACATTTACAGAGATACAATCAATTTCCCATAATTATGCTGACGTCATAATATGCAAAGTCATATTTTGAGCTCCAAGGCCATTATAACGACGTCATGATATTTGTAATGGCCAAATGAGACATGATTTCATATTTCCGACTCATACTCATCTAAATATGAAAACAAATTGAGGGTCCCGGTTATCCACAAGAGCTATAATGGATTTTGTACAGGCAAGTTTTTGCCCATATATGCTATGTATTACAATTAGAGCTCGCGCGCACGGACATTTATCTTGAATGGACGCTCATCTTAATATTAATGGTCATAAAGAGATGAACATGGTATCAAATTGTTTGAAAAAATATGGGACTTATCATGAAAGAAAAAAAAATGGCGAATCTATGTTGTGTAATGGTGTTACGCGCGTGCACAATTTTTTGTAAAATGCTATCTCAAAGTTATCTTGTTCACAAAAAAGTGGGGCAAAATAAGAAAAATAAACTTGATTTGTAATACTTGTTTGGAACAAGTAAAGGTGGGCTGGTCTAACTAAAATTTATCACAAAATAAAGGGCACATTTGAGATAGCTTATTGTCTCAGCTAAAACATACTCGAAGTTCAGCGTAAACGAAGGTAAAACGACGGAGATATTGCTCGCGAAAGCCGGGAATGTAGAATCCAGTTTTGAGAAAAAATCATGTCCCATAGAGAATACATACAAAATGTGAAAAATTGACATGCCACCTTTAATCGCAAATATACGCCATGATGCCTTTGTCAAAATGTAAAATTGTGGGTACTGCATTCATAGACAATTGTCTCAGCTAGAACATATCAAACTTTAGAAGAAAATCAATCAATATTTACAGAGATACAATCAATTTTCCAAAAATATGCTGACGTCATAATATCCAAATTGAAATTATGAGTTCGGAGGCCAATTGAGTTAATTGAGGGTCAAATGAGACATGAAATCATATCTCCGATTCATACTCTAACAAAATATGAAAACAAAAATTGGATCACCTTGTATCCTAAAGAGTTACAATGGATTTTGTATAGGCATGTTTTTGCCCAGTATGCTATGTATTACAAGAGCTCGCGCGCACGGACATTTATGTTAAACGGTCGATCATTCCGTTATTAATAGTCATAAAGAGACAAACATGGTATCAATTTGTAAAAATATGTGGAATATTATGAAAGAAAAAAAATGGCGATTCTATGTTGTGTAATAGTTTTACGCGCGAAAACGCGTGTGCATGCGCGTGTGCGCGATTTTTTATAAAATGCTGAGAATGGCCTAAAACGTATGCAAAATGATTTTGAGACGATTTTGAGCATTTTAAAATTTTGCGCGCGCATTGACGCGCGGATGTACGCGCACGCGTGCGTTCTTTGACCTGAAATTGACCGGACGAATATTTACCTTGATCATGATAAATATGAATGAGAAATAGCTTTTGGTTATGAAGATATGATCATGAGTTGATTTTCGTAATTTTTTTTAAAATGGCGCCTAGATGACGTCATCAGTGAAGGTCAATGTTGAAAACGTTATTGTGCTTTGTACATATGCCTATACATATGTGTGCCAAATTTCAAGGCAAACGTTTTTTTTTTTTTTAAATGGCGCCTAGATGACGTCATCAGTGAAGGTCAATGTTGAAAACGTTATTGTGCTTTGTACATATGCCTATACATATGTGTGCCAAATTTCAAGGCAATTTGATCAAGCTATTTTTGTGTTATCTTGTTCACAAAAAAGTAGTTAGAAATAAGAAAAATATATAATAAATAAATAAAGGCCATTCTAACGGAATTATTATGAGGTCGTCTGTACGATATACAGCCCACCTGATAAATAATAAATAAATAAAGGCGATTTTAACACAAATATAAGGTGGTCTGTATTATATACAGCCCACCTGATAAATAATAAATAAATAAAGGCGATTTTAACCAAAATATTAGGTGGTCTGTGTTATATACAGCCCATGTGTGGGAGGGGTTTCTTTTCCATCCTGAGAAAATTTTTAGATTTGAAAATGTGAAAATGGATATTTTTATAATAAAAGGTTTGTCAGATTATTTACTCTGCTGAAAAGAGTTCAGATTATTTTACAACTAGAAAAAAAAATAGAAGACAAAAAGACAAAAATATATCAAATTTGCCGAGAAAGTCATGGATTAAAAGATCCTCAAATTTACACATTTGACCACAATAATTAAACACCCTGCTTTAGAGACGAGTTTGTAGCGCAGGGGTGGTCTAGGACTAAGAATCCGCTCAGAAATTTACAGCTCCAAAGCCAAGTATTTTTGAGACTGACTACTAAATTTTGTGATTATCAGTCTTAAAAAGTCTTTAATATTTGTCTTTTCTTGTACGAGTTGAAAATGAGTGGACAGTCGTTCCGGCCCCCATCTCATTCCAAAAATGGATATCAGAAGGAGATGAGGGGGGGGGGGAGAGGCAAACAAAATATTTATATACCTCTCTTTAGTATCATGAATAAATCTAGTCATCTGATTGGTCGAAATTGGAGTTGTGATTTTAGCCATGCCCGCCTACCGGTCAATAGTCTTTTTTTTAAAGATGCCCGTTGCCCCCCCCCCCCCCCCCCCCCCCCGGATAACTGGCGTCACAAATAAATTTTGCTGAGATTCCCATTGGTTTACGTGTAAAAAAATTCTCAAGAAAAGGATCAGGTAAGAATTCATTGTAGATTTGTTTGTGAATTTGTTTGGTATATAAGATTTGGTATCGAAGCATAGCTGTTTTTATACTGGCTCTCGGGGACGTTACATCCTGTGAGATGACCCCTTGAGGAAAAATTTGATGGCAGCATCGTATTACAAGTATTTTGTTAATTATCTGAAATCAAAGAAATATCATATTTTTCTGAAGGCTTACCAAAACTGTACCTATTAAGGCCTCTAAATGTATACTTTCGGTTGTTACGATATTGAAAGTTAAAAGTAGACTGAAGTTAAGGTATAGGTAGCAAAATACCAGGGACCCATTTCACAAAGCCTTTTTTCAATGACAAATGACAAAAATCAGTGACAAATCTGCTGATACCAAATCAAAGGCAAGGATTTCAGTAGCTTATAACGTTTGTGACCGATGACAAGTTTTGTGAAACACCCCCCTGTAGTACTTAATGGTGCTACAGTGGAAACAGACCTGTTAGTAGAAATAATAGTACAACTGGTAAAAGTATAGTAGGATGACAATGTGAAAGTAAAGTCAACTAAGATATTTTTGTTATTTTAATAAAAGCTCATTTACAGCTTGATAGCAAAAAGGAAATTGAGTGAAATGTGTCTATTGTGTTCTCCTTTTATCAAAAGTTATACGGGTATGTCAGATTTCTATTTGATATTCCGTTCATGATTTGTAGTTAACTTCAATATATATATTCAGAAGGAATGCTAGATCACAGCTAAATACTACACTAGGACCCTACCACCCTGATGACTCTCTGCACAGCAATCTCAGCATTGTGAAGATGGCATGTGTGTGGCAGACACAAAATCCTCATAATTCAGTTGTTTTAATTTATGTGCTAGGCCAGACGTATACATTTTTTCTTACGCCTTATTTGTTGAATATTTCTTTTAAGGAAAAACTTGAAAGCAGCAAAGCATTACAAGTACCTTGTTTATTATCATCTGAAATCAAAGAAATTTTTCTGAAGGCTTACCAAAACTGTACAAATAAGACCTATCAATCTGTACTTTTGGTTGTTTAAAAATATTTTCTTTCTACTTTGACAGCCAACATAGATACAGAAAGATGGACTGTGGTGACTGGAGACCCCCAGTTAGCAACCATATCTATCACAAACCTACAGACAACGGACAGCAATGTGTTCCAGTGTATAGCTACCAACAAGTACCAAGAGGAACTCACCAGTGTTGTACTCAATGTAGTCTGTGAGTATACATTTTTACCTTGGTCACTCTGAAATCTGACCCAAATTCTTGACAAGAATATATTGCAGGTTTTCACAAGGCATGTCTAAGACTTCACCTGAGTGATTTCAGATCAATCAATCACTCAGTTATTAAAATGACTCTCAGCCCTTTTAGCCAATTCTATATGATGGTCCACGATGGGAGAAATTATCTGTTTGGTATAGACTAGATTTGCACTAGCACTAGCTGTTAATTCACTTTTTTTATTAAGAGAGAGAGAGAGAGAAAAAAAAAATCTTGAGTCTGTTAAATGTAGGGACACTGATTTTCCGTTTAAAAAAAAAGGTCTTTTCCGTTTCAGAAAATCTGGAATTCCGTTTCCGATGGGCTGAAAAACGGAAATTCCGTTTTGCTTTAGACTTTGTACACATGAAAAAACTTAAATTCTGTTTACATAAGATTTTCATTAAAACATGAACTTGTAGGGTACAAATGTTCTATTAAAGCCGCCACCTTTGACAAGCCACTGATAACCACTCAAAAACATACGGACGGGACTGGATAAACTTGATGCAAAATACTAGTGTAAATATAGACCTACGAAAAATTATCAAATGTTTAAATTTACCAACTTCAAATTCGAACTTAGACAAGCAGACTAAAGTTAGCGGAATATGTCAGAACACGACATATTCCTGACGGAACGATACACTAGTACCGACGTCGACAAAAACATTTCAGTCTTGGCTGTCATGTCAGCGATCCGCGATAGATCGATTTTAGGCGCACATGCCAGCCCCTTTTTCGAAATTGTACAACAGCGTGTGTACACTATTGCCGCACTTAGCGCCCGCTGCTGGCGTGTGTGTGCCTAGTATTACGTCTAGGTAATACTAGCATCGAATTTCAAGTACTAGGCGCACACGCCAGCGCCGCTGCTATTGGTCCAGCGACACAAAATGGCAGCGCCCTGTCTCCTAACAATCTGACGAATATCGCCAAATATTCAGAATTATTTACCATGATTTTAGGGCCGATATTTTTTCACTGCATAACGAATCACAAAACAGTGAAAAGTTTTACGATTTTCTTCTTGAAAAATGAAAATTTTTGAGGTAAAAGGGGTTTTCCGTGATTTTCCGTTCGAAATTGCATTTTCCGTTTCAAATGGTAATTTCCGTGAATTCCGTCCGTTTTCCGTGATCGCGGAAAATCAGTGTCCCTATAAATGGCACGATAAATCAGTGGTAGAGAAGTGGTCTCGTAACCAGGAGGTTTGGGGTTTGAAACCAAGTCGATGCTAGTGCCCTTTAAGGCATTAATCCTCATTACCAAGTCCCTCAGAGAGGACTTAAAGCCGTTGTTCCCCAGGTTGCCTACTTACAAGCATATACATCCTTTCTCTAATAGCAGTCAGGCCGGTACAACAATACCAACCATCAATTATTAACTGTCTTAATATGGAGGAAAGGCATGATGATGTTCTTTTCATGCTACTTTAATGGCAGGGTTGTGGTTCAGGGTGGGGGTGTTTATGGGAGGAGTTGTATTGTCAGCCTTGCACATTTCCATTATTTGATTAGACCGTTATGGTACTGCTACCTCAATGGACACAACAGGAAAAGCGAGTTAATCAAATGAATAGGGAGTCAAGTGATAGTTGTATGTTGTAATCGGTTACTAACATTGTTATCTCTGACATGACTTTTTATCTCTCTCCCTCCATTATGTGTGTAGCCATCCCTGCTAGGATACCTAGTTTCACGCCTCTGACGAGGAGACTCAGTGTTGTAGAGGATGACTCTGCCGCATTCACCTGCCATGTTGAAGGAAGACCTACTCCAACCATAACATGGACCTTCAAGGGATCAGTGGTGAGCAGGCTGCTCAACGTTAACACTTTGGTTGCTTTTTTCGCGTCTCTGCACACTGCATTCATATCAGTTAAAGGGATAGTTGAGTTCTGTTTTCAGACCGCAAATGCCTTCAAAGTGCATTGTTATTGCTCTTATTCTTATCTATGACATTTCTAGTGCCCTTTTAGGACCTAAATTTGCGATGAAGGTAATTTTATAGACCCCAAAATATGTTAAATTTAGTCAAAACGATCATAACAATTCAGCTCCACTTTTTTTTTTAATATGGTGACCATTGATTAATTAATTAATTAAAAATGACAATACATGAGCCGGCAGGTTGTGCGTAATATAACCAATATGAAAAAGCCAACATCGGCATTGGCTGAAATACGAAGTAAAATGCGTTTTTTCAAATTATCAAATATCTGTGGTGGTACACAAGTATTAGAAACCGTTATATTTAGGGATATTTCAGCCGTTTCTGAACCGATTTTGATCAAACAAAGATGATGTCATTTACATTGTATGTTCTTTCAAATTTGACACTCAGTTTTTCATTATCTCACAAAAAAATTATTTTGTGTAGCGCCCTCTGCAACAGAACTCAACTATCCCTTTAACAACATGATGAATGAGAGTATTCATTTTTGCATTGATGCTAGATTTGTGAAAAGAAAATGTGACCTTTCTCTGTTTTTGTTCATGTGGATTTGTTGTTGTGGCTTTAAAGTATATGATGTTGACCCAGGTGAGTGTGAAAATATTTAGTTCTAATGAAAATCAGTCTCTATGAAGCACTCTCAGCTGTACTGTTGCAGTACCATGAGTTCTGTCCCCAGAAGGTATATAATATTGACCCAGATGAGTGTGAGTATATTCAGTCTAATTCATTCTAATAAAATGACGACAGAGGGTCAATATTATACACTCTATGGTGACAGAGCACCGGCATGTGGAGGCCCAAAACTTTGAAACGCTGTCCCAGTATCGCTACGCTCCATTACAGAAGTCAAAGTTTTCAAAACAGCCCTTAAAAGTTATCTTTTTGATAAAGGTTACCATGAATTGTTATTTGCACTGTGGGGGCCCCTATGGTCCTAAAATGTGCTATAGAAGAACTTATTGTTATTATTACGTCTATGACACTCTCTCTCTCTCTCTTTTTCACCCCTTTCATGAATCAGTTGAGCAACGGGGACAAATACACCATCGATGAAATGGTGGGAAGTGTAGTGATCAACAATGCCTTGGAAGTGGATAGCGGAGCATATGAATGCTCAGCTGAAAACTCTATCGATGGAGAAGATCATATGGCGATGGGTAGTGCAACCCTGACTGTGCTAGGTGAGAGCTTGTTTTTTAATTTTAATTTTAATTTTTGGGCTTCTTTTTAGTTTTGATTTAGAATTTTTTAATAATCCCTTCTCTTATTCCTCTTGCATAGGGTTGCAAGTACCATTTTTTCTTAGCTCTGCCCGAACTAAAATTGATTTCAATTTTCTGTTGAATACAAAAGGAGCAACATAATATACAGACTTGTGTGTTTGCAAGATTTTTAAATATATTGTTTGCCCCAATACACTAATGTTTACTTCAGTTGGTCATGTAACCCATTTAAAAAGAAATTGAACAATTTTATGCTGATATGAGCATAGCACAGTGAAGTTGATGATAAAGAGAGAGATGATATTCATTTTTAATTTGTGATCTCTCTCTCCCTCCCATTCCTCCTACAACCTCTGAATAGGCAAGACAATAATCACCCTTCCCCCTGCTGATCTGACGGTTCGAGAGGACAGTACAGCCACCTTCCAGTGTGAGATCACATATGACCATGAGCTGAATAAACCCACTGTCTACTGGATGAAAGACAGTCAGAGACTCGAGGCTAATCAGGTCAATATGCATGCTACTTCAGGGGATTGTTTCACAAAACTTGTCATCAGTGACAAATGACAGTTTTTGTTATAAGCTACTGAAATCCTTGCTTCTGATTGGTTAACAGCAGATTTGTCACTGATTTTTGTCATTTGTCATTGAAAAAAGGCTTTGTGAAACGCCCCCCAGATTTTTATTCAAAGAAACTCATGCATACACTAGACATAATATTTAGATAGGTCTTCATTTTTCTTTGCCAACAATGATATCTTTCTCTCATTTTGATTGATTTTTCATTATTGTATTGTGTTACTTGTCAGAGAAAGGAAATGATTATTATCCATCTGAGGGTTCAAATTAAAACCCAAGAGCTCGCTTGTTTACTGTAGATGTATTAAGTCTTACTCTTCATCACCGTTTGTTGGTAAAGTGATAATTGTTTTGTATCTTTGGGCTGTTTTTATTTCCTTTTTTCTTTCAAAATTGTTTATGAATTTTTAAAAAAAAATTTAAACACTATAATTGTATACAGTGATTTTTTAAACAAAATGCTCTGCTCAATGGTTATTTTAGTTACATTTATTATACAGATTATTAGTAGTTTTTAAAATTATAAAAACATTTAGTATTGCTCATTTTGAAATGCCTGAATGGCCTTTTTGATTGAAGAAATGAAAAAAGTTTAATGAGATCACATTACTAACATTTGTTCTTATTCTTTCCTCAATAGGACAACTCCCTGAGAATAGACAATGCCATGTTTTCTAATTCAGGAACCTATACATGTTTTGTGGAAACAACCCTTGATGAGTCTGCAGGCACAGTTCACTCAGTGAACGCTTCTGCTCAACTCGTTGTGAAAGGTATGACTTAGAAAATGATATCTATCGTGACACCTTAGGTACTGTTTATTGCTTGTACCATCAGGAGCTGTTGAACTGATTCACAAGATGCCCCTGTAGCGAATAAATGTAGCTCTTCCAAATCATGACTCAAAACTAATAATGTTTTCAGTAAATATGTAAATACTGCCTTCATTGGAGGAGCCAGTGCTTTGGATAGTTTGTCAGAAATATGGCACTATACAATTCTGATCATCATCATCAATTCTGAAGTGGTTTTGAAACAGCAAATGTGCTAACAAGCCCTTATTTGATAAATGTTATGATAAATTATGTCATTCAACACAGTAGAAAGAGCTTAAAGAAATGACTTGAGTTTTAACAATTTTGCAGAGCTTATTTATATATAGTCACCTTCTTAAAATAATGACCTAAGTCATATTTTCAAGATTTGAGAAAACAGAGAAATTGAACCAAACAGAATAAATGGATCTTTTGCTCATTTTATACAGAAAGGGCTTGGGGATATATGAATATTAAAATCATTATGGTACTGTCATGAAGTGACTTCAATGGACACACCAAGAAAAGTGAGTAAATGAAATAATTAGGGAGTCAAGTGATAGTTTTATACAAGTATTGTAATCTGTTACTAACATTGCGTATTTATTGTTATCTCTTAGATGACTTTTCTGTCTCTCCCCCCATTATGTCTGTAGCCATCCCTGCTAGTATACCTAGTTTCACACCTCTGACAAGGAAACTGAGTGTTGTACAGAATGACTCTGCCAAGTTCACCTGCCATGTTGAAGGAATACCTACTCCAACCATAACATGGACCTTCAAGGGATCAGTGGTAAGCAGGCTGCTCAACATTCTTAACACTGTTGCTTTTTTCGCATCTCTGCACACTGCATTCATATCAGTTATCAACATAAAGAATGAGAGCATTCATGTTTGCATTGATGCTAGATTTGTGAGAAAAAAATGTGACCTTTCTCTGTTTTTGTTCAGGTGGATTTTGTTGTGGCTTTAAAGTATATAATCTTGACCTAGATGAGTGTGAAAATATTCAATTCTAATGAAAATCAGTCCCTATGAAGAAGAAGCACTCTCAGCCGTACTTCTGCAGTACCATGAGTTCTGTTGCCAGAAGGTATACATAATATTGACCCAGATGAGTGTGAGTATATTCAGTCTAATTCAGTCCAATATAATGGCGACAGAGGGTCAATATTATACACTCTATGGTGACAGAGCACTGGCATGTGGAGGCCCAAAACTTTGGAACGCTTTCCCAGTATTGGTAAGTCAAAGTTTTCAAAAAGGCCCTTAAAATTTATCTTTTTGATAACCACAAATTGTTAATTGCACTTTGTAAAGCGCATCTTGAGGGCTTATGGTCCTGAAATGTGCTTTATAAGAACTTTTAATTATTAGTTTTGTTTAGGTCTATGCCACTGTCTCTCCCCCTCTTATTATTATTATTATGAACCAGTTGACCAACAGAGACAAATACACCGTCAATGAAATTGAGGGAAGCCTAGTGATCAACAATGTCAAGAAAGTGGATAGCGGAGAATATGAATGCAGAGCCGAAAATGCTATCGATAGAGAAGATCATGAGGCAACGGGTAGTGCAACCCTGATAGTGCTAGGTGAGAGGGGTTTTTTTAATGTAAATTTTCTTTTCTTGGCTTCTTTTTAGTTTTGATTTAGATTTTCTTAATTATAATCCTTTCTCTTATTTCTCTTGCACAGGGTTGCAAGTACCTTTTTCTTCTTTCACTTCATTAACGTTGTACTCATCCTCACTACTGTCTATATTGACATTATTAACATGTCCTTCCAAGTTCTTGTTTTCAGAGTGCCCGTTGGCATTGAAGTCCTTTGTTTCGCCACATTTTGCAAAATGTCCCCTTTTCTTGCACTTCTCACACGTCTTGTCCCTCGCCGGGCATTTGGAGTCTTTTACAAAGTGCCCATCTGAAACATAATGGCTGTTTATTCCCGTAGCACCTCCCTCTTGTCGTTGACCATCTCGCCCTCGCCTTGAGTAGGCTGTAAGGTTCTGACTCACTATCACAGCATGGATGCCTCCTTGGTCATGATCTTGTCCACCTGCTGCATTCATCTGGCTCTCTTTAATTTAGGTCGTGGATGCAATTGTCTGTAACTAATCAAGAGTCAGACTGTGCCCCTTTTACAATAACTTAGCATGGATTTTGAACGACCTGCACTTTTTGATGACTTGATCCCGGATATTTTCATCTACATCTTGGAATAGCCGCTTTCTGCGGAGGTCTTGTTACAAACTGTTTAATGCTCTCATTATCCTCCTGCTTAATGCTCTTAAATAAGTAGCACTCATAAGGGATGTTGATTTTTGTCGCGAAATATTTGTTCAGTTTCGCCTTTGCCTTCGGATATTCATCCTGCTGACTTTCTCTTTCCCCTCCTTCCACCGAAGTTGTACCTTTTATGTATTTGAAGTATCTTCCAGCAATGCAATGTCCTGCACCTCAGGTCCAGTGCAATGTAGCAAAAGTGCTTTCTTTTGTTCTGGCTTTGAAACTCCTTTCCCTGTTACATAAAGTTTGAAAGACAGACACCACCAAATCCATGACTGGGAAATATGAGCCGGATCTACATATGGGTTGAACTGACCCAATCCTTGTACCTCGACCTCTATAAAATTGTTGCACACTATTCCTTTACAACTGAAAAGAAGTAATGCAGTTCCTTGCTGTTATTCTACTTTCAGTTTAACTTATTACTCGTCGCCACTTGTAGCATTCAAGCCACACTTTACAAAGTATATGCTAGTTTGAGAGAGATGTGAAAGGTATGTCTTTAATTCAGGAAAAGTACCCAGATGGATGACATAGAAATAGACAATACCATTACCAAATGTGTCGATGCCGCTAGAAATCTTCGCGTGCAGCTAGACAAAAATCTTACAATGAAAGCTCAAATCAATAATGTATGTAAAACCAGTTTGTTTCCTCTGCACAAAATTGGAAAAATCCACTAATTCCTAACCAAAGAAGCTACTAAGCTGCTGGTTCATGCCCTGGTTATATCTCGCATAGATTTTTGCAATAGTTTACTTTAATCTCTTCCTGATGTTCACACCAATAAATTACAAAGAATCCAAAACTCAGCAGCCAGACTAATCACTAGAACTAAACGCAGTTAAGTCCTGTATTAATTATATGATCCTTTTACTGACATATCAATGCCTAAACGGTACATTCTACAATATACCCCTACAAGAAAATTAAGATCAAATGGTAAATACCTCCTGGTAACTTCAAGCACTCAAACAAAATATTATGGCACTTGCTCTTTCAAAAATTCTTCGGCCGAATTGTGGAACAGGCAAGCACAACAGAATCTTTAAGACTCTGTTGAAGACGTGTCTTTTTGTAAATTGTTAATTTTGTTCCAGCTGTTTAGTGATTTACCACAATAAATCAATGTATCTACCCATTATTTGCTAGTTTATCTAAACTATGCCACCATCGGGAACTCTTTAAAAACGTCACATTCGCGCATGCCCCACCCCCCCCCCATACATCGTCTTCCCAACACACGCCCGTCATTCATCCTCTTTCTATTCTCGCCTACCGGTAGGGACATCGTTACAGCTGAGTTACATTTAAAATTAAGGATTTTGTCCTTTTTTCGTTAGGCTTAGCTCTTTTTACGCATTGAATTCCGTCCTCATTTTAATTGCTATTAATTTGGTGGTACAGGTTCCCAAGTCACATTTTTATTTTTGTGGAAATTTAAGTATCATTACTGCTCCGCATATTTCCACTTTCACGACCGTAAATTACAGGCTTCGGTACGCCGCTAGGTTTGGGAGTCTGGTCCTGGCATTACGGCCTATGCTGGTTGGGATTTCTTACGTGTGGTTAGGCGGTTAATATATTCATCGCCCTAATGTCCCACCTTAGCTCGTTATGCTTCGCGGATCACCGCTTCTGCGGTGCGACCTTTTGTCTGTTCGTGATTGTTTGGTTTGGTTTTCGTGCATACTTGTTGGGTTTAGTTTGGAATAAAAACGTTTTATTTGAAACTGTTTGGCTGGAAATATAGTGAGCGTGGAGTTTAATTCACTCTCGCTCCCTTTGTCTGGCATTTCTCATTGTTTACCTTTTTTGTATGCAGGTTCGTGGATATGTCTGGTACCCGTCTCTCCCCCAGCTAGTGCAGCTACTGGAGGTGTGTTCGACAAGCCAACCACTCATTCATTCAGTGTGGCGGCGGGTAAGCTAAGGAGCGCTACTAGCGTCTCGGACAAGCTCGTTACTGTTTGCCGGCTCGACTTCTGTCGAGCTTGGTATGACATCCATTGTTTGGACCCGGGTCCCAGCAAGGGGGCATTCGGTTTACCGATCATTAGCCCCCACCGCAGAATAGAAGCGGGCGTCATCGGCTCGCCGACCTCTGACGCTCGTGCTTTGGGGAATAGTGTCGCCATTGCGGCCACTGACACTCGTAGCCGGGGGAAGAGTGCAGCCATTGCGTCCATTGCACTCGGAACCCGATTACTGGCTCTGCTCCAGCCAGTGACATGTGCAATTTGATACTGGCTTGAATCCTCAGGGGCCGGTTTCCTCCCGTCACAGATGGGTTAAAAGAGACTGTCCGACCCTCCTGTCCAGGGTACGTCCAACAATGCTCAGGTGGGGCTCTTTTGCCGACATTTCCTGTCCACAAGGAGACCTACCTCGTAACTGCGGTTAGAGAATGTCCGACCCTTCCGTCCAGGGTACTGTCCGTCAGTCTCGAGTGTTTACTCGAGTGAATCCACGGCACCCCGTGCCGCCTTGATAACTCAGAAGTACACTCTTCCTAGCTCTTGCTCCCGTCCGCGGGTAGTCATGGAGTATAGCCATGTCCCGGCCATGTCTCAGTCATGTCTCTTTTTAAGTCGATGTCTGCCTTGGGCACACATTAGACTACTGGGAGGAAAGGTACGGCCTCTTTTAGACGCCAACCCTTCTCCATTGCCATCTATCGAGCTGAGCCTCTTGACTACTTGAAGCTCTTTGCTGAGAGAAGCTTGCAGGGTACAAACCCCCAGCCCTCTCGGCCGTCCTTTGGTGGTACAGGCCTTCTTTTACGTGGTCGGCCCTGTCTGGGCGCCCAGGACCCGTCCCGTCATGGTGGCTTGATCTGGTACCAATTGCCTGGAAAGTGTCTGAATTTTTGGATGTCCCCTCAGGATCCTGTTCTCATACTGGTTTGGGACATGCCTCCCGGTTCATATGTGTGCTGGTCTAGCAAATAATAGGTAGATACATTGATTTATTGCGGTAAATCAGGAAAATCAGATTTTATTATATACTATGTAAATCTATGTATCTACCTATGTATCTCCCTCCATCCCCTATCCTTGCGGGGAAACATGTCCGAAGCTTTGTCTTTGGAGGCTCGTGAAAGAGGATGAATGACGGGCGTGCCTTGCGCACGTGACCACTGGGAAGGCGATGTATGGGGTGTGGGGCATGCGTGAATGTGACGTTTTTAAAGAGTTCTCGATGGTGGCGTAGTTTAGATAAACTAGCAAATAATAGGTAGATATATAGATTTATATAGTAAATAATAAAATCAGTTCTGATTTTTCTGACTTCTTTGGTTATAGTATCGTGTACATATTTAATATTTCATTTAATTTTCATTTAGTTTTCATTTTTAAATTTGTATTACCTGAATGTACAATCTATTACATGTATAAGCTATATAGGAATTGCGTATCATTATTGTTGTTATTTTCATGTATCAGGCATAAATGTTCATTTCTATTCCGCCCTATCTCTATTTCCTGCTTTTCTAAGCGCATATATAGGGACTTTCTTTGTGTTAGTGATATGCGCTATACAAATAACGTTCATCATTATTATTATTATTACTTTATTGAGGTTCAATTTAGACTTACAAACAGGCTGCTTTCTATATATAACATTGAGAGTGATATAGACATGACAGGTATAGACTCATGCAAACTATGTTCTGGGCTATTTATATGACCAATACTGATTTAGGTTTGGTGCTAGCATGAATCTACTACCAGGCTGCCCGCCAGTAACCTTTGGTCAAGTGTCAAGACACTACATACCCCTGCTAAGTTTCATTGACGTAGGTATATAAGGATCGTTATTTCGCAATTTTCTTGAAAACTGGGTATTAAGAGGTTCAATTTTCTCAAATTTGGTCAGCGATAGGTTATATATTTTTTATTTGGCTGGAAAAGGCATATCTTCAAGTATTTAAATCCAAAAAAGGGTATGGGTTTGGCCTGACACGATGGAGCTACGTCCACATAAAGAAAACAAATTCCCATAACTTTAGAGGGCGCTATTTATCTTCTGCAAAGCCATTGGAGCGTGGAATTTAGTGTGGCTATGTGCAATTATGAGATAAAGATACTGTGAGAAATTGAGACAAAGCGGAATTGGTACGGGAAAGTGATGGCAATTTTTTTATCTTTATGGGTCTATTTTTCAAGAATTTTTTAGATTTTTGATGGAGTCTGGTTTCGGATTTGAATTTCAAGTATGAAGATGGTATTTTGAAGGGAAGTTTTACATCGCAGATGAAAGAACATCTCATGGACTATCTAGAGGAATTTGTTAAAAGTCTGTAGATAGGAAGGAAAAAAGATAGGCCTTAATCTGGAACAAAAACGGACAAAATGGGGCCTGGATGGTCACGCATGGGTGATTTCGAAAAAAAATTGAAAAGTAGGTGACCTAGATTGGATATCTGAGATTATGCCTACAAAATTTGAAAGGAATCTGGCAAGAATAAAGGACCTAACTAGGAATAACAAGCGCTACATGCAAAATGAATGGGATTTCCTGATGAGAAAAACATTAATAGGGCTGAATGTGAACGAAAACAAAGCAATGACAAAGATCGTCATTGCAATTTTAGGGACAAATAAGTATTCACTTCAATGATTGGTCTGTAATGAGGTCTCCTGCGAGCAAAGTGCCAATGTTCACAACTTCACACCAATATGTACGCCACCTGCCGTTAGCGTAGCAAAAAAAAGAAAAATATTTATTGAAAAAAGCCCAGAGTAACTTCTCATTGCTTGATGCTACTTTTGCATAGTGCACAGTTTCACCCAGGCAGAACACATGTCTTGTATTTGGATCCAGGCCAATATGACATTAATATAGGGGGAGGAGCATGATAATTTATCATAAAAATGCTGCCAACTTTATAATAACACTAATGATAGAACAGTTCTTAAATAACACATACCCTTGAAATGGTCTTTATGCACTTAGGAAAAAGTAAGAAAGAAGTCATAAAATTAAAAAATAATTAATTAAATGAATAATTTTTATTTTTTATTTTTTATTACATTTTTTAATCAAATTTTGTAAAGTAATGTTATGATTTTATAAGGACTGTCGGTGATATTATTGGTGTTATGCTGAATGTTCATAGTGTGGAGTTGTGAAAAAAGTTTTTTTTTAGTCTTTGGACATATACATGTCTTCTACTTTTATAGATTTTAATAAATGCAATATTTTCCAGTGGTCTGGTAGCAGAATAATGAAAGAGAGCATTAAGCAAAGAGAGAGTTGAGAATGAGAGAAGTTGAAAGGAGAGGGGGAGCAAATGAGAGAGAGAGAGAAAAGAAGAAAAGAGAATAGAAGAGAAGAGAGAGAGAGAGTGAGAAGAGAAGAAAACTATGAACCTCCATGGAAAAAACAAAGAGAAAGAGATGGAGATAGGTACATATATAGACAAAGAAAAAAGAAAAAAAAGAGGGACCATGAAAGAGACAAAAGTCAGAAACATGGTTGAGCAGCGGAAGCACGTACACAAATGACCATATAGGCTTGCGGGTGCACCATGTGAGAGAGAGGGAGGATTGAGAAGTCCTGAAAAGGACTCTCGGTTATCTTTCTTGAGGGTGTGTAGCCCTGAAAAAGGACTGTTGGTATAGTCTTGAAAAAGACTGTTGGTTATCTTTCGTAGCTTATAGTTCTAAGGAGCACTATAGCGCTTGGAAAGGATGAGTGGCAGGATTGGCTCGACGTTTAAAAAAGGTTGACTATCCATCGTCAGGAGACCGTCAGGAGACAAATGACAATGTTATGTATCTTGTCCAGTATGATAAATTGATTTTTTTTTTTTAATAACTTTTTTTAGGTACTGATTTTCCACCTTCCATAGTGGAACAGCCTGAATCGGTTACTGGAGACCAACGTATCCCATTAACTCTAACATGCAGAGCTATTGGAACACCAGCACCTGCGTAAGTTGCACACATAGAAGAATCTTAACACTGCAGTTGTAGATTCTCAAGTATGATTGGTAGATTTTCAAACATACATTTTGTCAAGGAACAAATGTAGGTAAAACATATTGTTTGCAAACAACATTCCAGATGGTCTTAAGCTTTTGCAAATGACTGAAATGTCTGTAGCTACTTGAAGATGGGTTTTAGGTAGTTCCTATGTGCAATGCATCATACTTTTTTTAAACACCGGATACTATGGAATTTCTATTAAATGTGTGTACAACAGTTTACTACTGGGAGAAGGATTGTGCTTTATTATTTGATATGGAAGGTAACGCTCACGTTTGTTTGCCTGGATGGGGTAACCTAGCTATAATGATTGAACCAAAACTTGAGGCCAACTTGAGGGACACACTATCATTTGGGATCCCTCAAAGTATCGCCTGCTAGAAGTCGGAGAGCGCATACAGTTCGGTTAAGAATGAGATAGTATTTTGAGAACATTTCCTAAGCAAGGACCCATGCAACCATGCTCACCATGGGGTTGGAAGGATGAAAGTGATAGTTGTGTGTAATCATGTTTCAATGATTTATTTCAATACCAGGTACTACTGGGAGAAGGATGGTGCTTTATTTGACATGGACAGCAATGATCGCGCTAGCCTGGATGGGGGAAACCTAGTGATCGAATCATTAACAACAGCAGATGATGGACAGTACCAATGTTTTGCGAAGAACAGGCTTGGTACAGCAATGTCCCAAAAGATATGGACATCATTGGCATGTAAGTTGATGCCTTCATTGTTTTTCATATAAGTCCTAGTACTGTAAAGCTGTTATTTTCGCGTGATTCATTTTTTAGTGCTGAACGACTCCAAAACTTATTCTCAGGTTCTTAAATTTGCGTTGCACACTTCACTCTATTATTTTCATTCATATCGGTGCATTTGTACTAGTATTGAATGCAATTCAGTCTGTTCAAAACACGCATAAGAAATGATGCTTATATTTTTGCGAGTTCCAAAATTCGCTTTTCTGATGTTAGCGCGAAATACGCGAAAATTAATGTACCACAAAATATTTCTACTTTTACAGTAAGTTTTTAATTGAAAAATCAATTGGTGAAGCCAAGTATCAAGTGTCATTCATGTTCTGGTTCACAAAATTGTTGTCATTATACTCTATGAAATAGAGAATTGGGATGTTAGAATTATTATAGATCTAGGATCGTTGGTCAGTTTTGACATAGAGTACCAAGTTATAAAACCTACATGTTACTGTTATCTCCATGTTTTATCTGCAGTCATGGAACAGTTTGTGAACACTGCACCTGCAATGGTACAAATGAGCCAGGGACAACCCCTGAAGCTCCGTTGTGGTGGATCCCTTGGCGTCCCTAACGGCAATCCTGCTCCCTTGATCTACTGGACCGATGCAGCTCCCAAACCCACTGCCATTGGATACGACGCACGGATTAACCAGGATCTAGAAGGGAACCTGGTCTTTTCAAACATAATTGCAAGCGACGCTAAAGGCTACTACTGTCTATCCATTAATAACGTTATAGGGTCGTTCCAGAGGTCACCAAAAGTCACGCTGAGTGTTACAGGTAGGTGTAGCAGCTGATGTACCTATTAACATAGACACAATTAAACCAGAAATTTTTGCACGCATGAATTCTATCGTGAATTTCCAGAGTGGTTAAGATTCGCCAAAGATTTTGTATCATGGTATCACAAATGACACAGCACTGAATATTCACAATTTGCTAAAATTGCTTGCTGTATGAATGGCTGTTGTTTACAATCCACGAAAGTTTATGGTTTTAGAGTACCTGGTTATACAAAAGGAGGCTAAGATTTAGATTTACAACCCTCCTGTCTTGTATATCCCTATTATTCCCTTAAAAATTCTTTTCTTTCCTTGTGTTATCCTTTAACTTCTTCAATTCATACATACTTAATTGTTTATAGATAACCGGCCCTCTCCCTCCATAAAAAAAAAAAAAAAAATCCATTTACATTCTGCATTATCCCTTCCCTTCCACTTCTTCTTCTCGTTCTTTTCTATTATTTAGTAGACTGAGGCATATTAAGATAATTTGATAATTCAAGGATTTTAATAAGTTTCAAATTTATATTGACCGTAGTTGAAAATCCTGCACCACTTATTCCCTTCATTTTCAAAATATGAATTCATTTTTATTATGATTCGTTGTAATCCGAGAACAAGTCATATACCAGTAACTATTAATTTGGAATGTTTTCTAATAAAATTTTAGAACTACATACTAATTAGGATCGTGTTAATAGTAGGTTATGTTAGATGTATAGCTAAAAAAGGGATAGTTGAGTTTTGTTGCCGAGGGCGCTACACAAAATAATTTTTTGTGAGATGATGAAAAATTGAGTGTCAAATTTGAAAGAATATACAGTTTAAATGATAAAATCATCTTTGATCAAAATCGGTTCAGAGACAGATGAAATATCCATAAATATAACCATTTCTAATAGGCTATTTGTAGGGCCCCACAAATATTCAGTAATTTTGAACCCGCCGTTGAAAAACAAGCACTTTATACGTTCTATTCCAGCCAATGCCAATTTTGGCTTTTTGTTGGCTTTTTCGTGTTGGTTATAATAAGCACAAGTAGCCGGCCTGTGTATTTACCACAATAAATGTATCTACCTATTATTTGCTAGTTTACCTAAACTACGCAGCCATTGAGAACTAAAACGTCACATTCGCGCATGCCCCACCCCAATACATCGCCTTACCAGGGTTCACATGCGCAACCACACGCCCGCCATCTTCCTCTTTCTATTCTGGCATGCCGAAAGAAATCATCTACAGCTAAGTTACTGTTCAAATTTGAAGATTTTTTGTCCTCTTTGGCACGGCTTAGTAAGTTTTGTGCATTTGATTCCGTTCTCATATAATTACGATTAATTTAGTGGTACGTGTTCCCAGTCACAAATTATATTTAAGGCAGAATTTAAACTTTCATTTCTGCCTCGCAATTTCCTTTTTTGCGACCGTTTTTGCAGGCTTTGCTACGCCACTGGGCTGTGCGTTCTGTCTTGGCTTAGAGCCCTTTTGTTGGTTGTTTTTTTTTTGTTTGGTTAGGCAGATAATTATCCCCTCGTCGACGAAGTCGGAGGGGATATAGAAACGCTGCCGTCCGTCCGTCCGTGCATGCGTCCGTCCGTCCGTAACAAATTTGGTTTCCGATTGATAATTTCAGTAATAATTGACAGATTTTAATGAAATTTGAAATGAAGGAACATGATATCAAAATACAGGCTAAGTTTGATTTTGGAGTACGTAGGTCAAGAGTCAAAGGTCATAGCTCATTGAATATGCGAAAAAAATACACATCTGGTTTCCGATCAATAACATTAGTAATATTTGACGGATTTTAATGAAATTTGATATGAAGGTTCATGGTATCAAAACACAGCCTAAGTTCGATTTTGGAGTATGTACGTCAAAGGTCATAGCTCATTAAATGTGCGAATCTGGTTTCGGATCCATAACTTTAGTAATGTTTGACGGATTTTAATGAAATTTGATATGAAGGTTCATGATATTGATTTCCGAGTATGTAGGTCATAGCTCATTAAATATGCAAATCTGGTGTCTGATCCATAACTTTAGTATTGTTTGACGGATTTTAATGAAATTTGATATGAAGGTTCATGGTATCAAAACACAGCCTAAGTTTGATTTCAGATTTTCCGGCCACAAGCCCCTGCCGCACACTGGGCACGGGCATTGTCGGTTTACCGACAACTGACGTTCGACCCCGGGTAAGAATGTTGTCTCATTTCCGACCACTGACATTCGGGCCCCGATCACTGGCATAGCTCCAACCGGTAATCTGTTCATTTTTAGTAAATCCGCAGCACCCCATGCAGCCTTGATAACTCAGGAGCCGGCTCTCTCCCGTCACAGACGGGTGGTTTCAGGCCGTAAGAGACTGTCCGACCCGTGTCCGATAAGTCTGAGGTGTTGGCTTCTCTGCCGGCAGTTGTAGCCAGCACTGGATGCCTTATCCCTCCATTGGGGGCACCTCTGGGGGTATGCTTTTCCCCCCTTTCCTCCGATTCCTCAGGTCCTGAGAAAGATCAAGGAGGATCAGGCGTGGGTCCATCGGGTAGCTCCGCGTTAGCTGAGGAGACCGTGGTTCCCTCTTTTTCTTTCCCTCTCCTGCTGAGGCCGGATGTGGTGTCCCAGCTTCTGTCGAGGATTCTTCATCATCGTCCCGCGGTGCTCTTTCTGACCACCTGGCCATTGTCGGGGAGGACGCTATGGCTTAGGGACTCTCTGAGAGAGCCTCTCAGTTTGTAGTCCAGAGTCAAAGGGATTCCACGAGGGCCCTTTTCAACTTTAGTTTGGAGCCCTCTTCCATTTGGGGTAAAGACCTCTGGGTCTCACCCCGTAAGGCTTCGGTAGGTGTGATAGCGGATTTTTTGATTTCCTTGTTTGGGTAGAGCCCTTTCCACTATTCGTGGTTACCTTTCGACCATCGCCGTCATTCATGTCGGGTTTCCGGATGGCTCAGGGGTTTCTAACTCCAAGTTACTGCGTTTCTTTGTTCTGCAGCGGCCAGCTAACTCGAAGCTGGCTCTTGATTGGAGCCTGCCAAAGGTTTTGGGGACATTGGCTAAGCCTCCTTTTGAGCCTATATGTCTAAGGCGTCTCTTATATATTTAACGGATAAGACTGTGTTTCTAATGGCGATATCTTCTGTACAGAGGAGAAGCATTCTCCATGCCCAGTTTACCTCCCCCAGCCACATCAGGTGGGAGAGGCGGGGGTTCGGTCGATTCCAAGGCCCTCCACTATTGCCAAGAATCAGTCGGCGTCCTCCGGGCTGGTTGAGGTTTTCCTCAGCCCTCTTTCGTATTTCTCCTCGGTCACGGAGGACAAGGTCTGGTGCCCAGTCTGGTGCCCAGTTAAGTGGTACCTGGACAGGACCAAGTATCATCGTAAAGATGATTATTTGTCATCACTCGAGAGCCTTTCTCTCCTGCTTCCCAGAGAGTCCATTTCTAGGTGGATCGTTGAAGCCATCAAAGCGGCTGGCCCTGAGGCCCTCTTCCCAGAGGGCAGGGCCAAGGCCCATGATACTAGGAGTATCAGTACTTCCTGGGCACTTTATCAGGGTGTGGGCTTAGACGATATTTTGAAGGCCACCTTTTGGCGTTCTCCCAATTTGTTTCTTTTTATCTCGGACATCCCCTCTGGTGAGGTTTTGCAACCTTGTCCCTAAGGGCGGCATCATCTGTCATTTTTCCCCAGTAATCCCCTTCTACTTGGGACATGCCTCCCGGTCTTATCTGTGCTGGTCTAGCAAATAATAGGTAGATACATTGATTTATTGTGGTATACAAATATGTATCTACCTATGTCCCTCCCTCCGTCTCCTCTCCTTGCCCGGCAACATGTCCAAAGCATTGTCTCTGGCTGCTCGTTATTGTACAAATAATTTACTGTTGAGAGTGTGTTAGCGCAGGGCCAGTGCACGAAGTTTAGTCAGTGTTCATAGTGATAATGCACGCGCCCCCAGGGCAAGTGCGTTATCGATATTGCACTGACTAAACTTCGTGCACTGGAACTGCCCTAACACACGAGCGAAACATACAGTGCATTATTTGTTTTATAAGATAGATCGGCAATTCATTCTTGCAATATTGTCAAGATCAAGAGTATAGATAGATATTAGATCTAGATCTAAGTTAGATCTAACTAGATCTAGGCCTAGAATATTCTAGATCTAGGTATTGACAATTATGCACAAATTAAATTTGGCTGAATTACCGGTACGCGAAAGAAATATCGGCAGGTATTGAGCGTGTGTTATCAATTTTGGATGGGAGCTTTTTTGCACGGTGGGAAAAACTAATGCATGCCCACGTGATGTCAATTGACCAATCGGATAGCTTAGATTTTAGAACCCATCTTATAATATTAATTAATTAACAGTCATCAACATTTCTGTGTTAAAGTATGACTAAACTTGTTTATGATTAATTGTATCATTTCAGATTTGCCAGCAGTTGCGAGTGCAGCCCACTTAGACACTCATCCAGCAGCAAGCGAAGTTGCCAAAAGAACTCAGTCATTTAAGCTGAAATGCATTGCTTTTGGATAGTAAGTATGTTTTAAGGTTAACCCTCTATTTCCTCTCTCTCTTCTTATTGCATTGCTTTTAATAGTTGAAGAGAAATTTCTTCTTTCCTAAATTTTTCCAACTTAACTCTTCCATAATGGAGATATATTTTTTTCTTACTTTTCTTGCATATACCTGTATCTTCTTTTGGAAAATTATTGGTACAAATTCTTTAAAAGATTCAACTGTAATGGCTTTAAAAAATATCGTGTAGGGCATAATGTGGTGAATAGACCATTTTTGTAATGTAATCAAATTTAAATCACAAATCTATCATGTTACAAATTCTTGAATTCACCTGTTTGTATTTCAATAGTTACCATGCGAATTGCACACATTACGTTTTGTTAGGCAGGACAAGCCATAATGTTTGTCCTACCTAGCAACAACTAATCTATGCGATTCGCATTCCCACTATTGAAATACAATTACTCAAAACAGGTGAATTAAATAATTTGTAACAAGGCACTATTAACAAAAATTGCATGAAAAAATATCTCTCTCTTTCCCTGTCTCTTTCTCTCTTTCTCCAGCCCAACCCCTGTAATCACATGGAAGCGAGGAGAGGAGCAGCTACAGTCTGGAGGACGACTTTCTATCGAAGAATCCGCGCAGGCGCTGGTCATCTCCGCTGTTGAGATCAGTGACGAGGGAACGTATACATGTGTTGCATCAAACACGGGAGGGGATGATGAATTCAGCACAGTAGTTACTGTGGAATGTAAGTTGAAAGTCAAATAATGATGTAAACAAGAACAAAAAATCTGCAAATGCTAAGTTTAATACTATATCCTGATAGTAGTAACAACATCTGAGCTTTAATAAAGTCTTACTCTGTCCAATGAATAAGGTACAATGTTAAGTAGTTGTGTATTGAGACCTTTTGTAGTAGTCCATTTCATTTTCTTCTACTATGTTATAAATTGAACCAATTATTAATGTGGTGTACGTGGGATATATAATTTTGTCAAAACGATACCATACAAAACAGTTATTGAAGTTAATATTTCTCTTTTATAAAACAAATTGAAATAGACTAAGTTCATAGTGATTCATTTAACATAACCACTTTGTTACTTTTCTCTTCCTTTTAATTTATTTAGCTGCACCATATTTCCCAGCCCCACCCTCCGATGAAATCAAGGGACCTGGTGAATCAGTGAACATTGAATGCCGTTCCGAGGGTGTTCCAGCGCCTACTGTCGATTGGCTTGTTAATGGACAACCTTGGGCAGATTTTGAATGTAACTGCAGCTGTAGGGCATTTTCATTTCAGTGTTGAACCCAGATAGACCATGGGCCAAGTCTCAAAAATTCTTCAGTTCCGTGGTCTCCCCCTGGGAAGTACTTTATTTTGTCCTAAATGATCAATGGACATATACCTAAGAAGCATGGTCAATTGTTCCCATCTCCAAATTTGTAAACATTTTCACAATTTTGATATAAAGTTGCAAAATGTAGCAGACAGCCATTCTGCAATGATGATGTGATAGCTGTTCCTTAGTTGACCAATCACAACTGGGGTCTTAAAGCCCAGAGTGCAATGGACCAATCCCAGTCCCTGTACTCTGAGTCTCTGAGTAAGAGGACTTCCTCTGTTCTAACTGCACCTATATTTAATATTAATGTAAAAAGAACAGTTTGTCTGTTCAGATACAGAAGGGCATTATTTTAAAGTATATGAGTTAACACCCTTCTAGCTTCAAAGAGATGAATTCATCCTATTTTGTAAGATACAACTTATGTTATGATATTGAAAGTCAAAAATAGACTGAAGTTAAAATAATAAGTAAAGGTAGCAAAGTACCAGTATTATTGGAACTACATGGGAACAGACCTGTTAGTAGAATTAGCAGTAATAGTACAAATTGTAGAAATTGTATAGTAGTATGACAATGTGAAAGTGAAGTCAAGTAACGTTGTTTTTTTAAATTTTGATAAAAACTCATTTACAGTTTTGATAGCAGAAAGAAAATTGGAGTGAAATGTGTTATATATAGTCTATATGTTCTCCTTGTATCAAAAAAAAAATGTCAGATCTTTATTTGATACTCCAACTTCAATATATATCTTCAGAAGGAATGCTAGATCACAGCTAAATACTACCCTACACTAAGACCCTACCAACCTTGATGGCTTTCTGCACAACAATCTCTGCATTTCATGTGAAGATGGCATGTGTGTGGCAGACACAAAATCCTCATAATTGCCTAGTGCAAATTGACATTGTTTTAATTGATGTGCCATGCCAGGCGTATACACTATTTCTTACGTCTTATTAGTTGAATATTTCTCTTGAGGAAAAACTTGATAGTAGCATAGTATTACAAGTATCTTGTTAATTGTCATCTGAAATCAAAGAAATCTTTTTCTGAAGCCTTATCAAAACTGTATGAATAAGACCTTTAAATCTGAACTTTCAGTTGTTTAGAAATATTTTCTTTCTCCTTTGACAGCCAACATAGATACAGAAAGATGGACTGTGGTGACTGGAGACCCCCAGTTAGCAACCATAGCTATCACAAACCTACAGACAACAGACAGCAGTGTGTTCCAGTGTATAGCTACCAACAAGTACAAAGAGGAACTCACAAGTGTTGTACTTAATGTAGTCTGTGAGTACGCATTTGTACCTTGGTCACTTTGTAATCTGCCCCAAATTCTTTACAAGAATATATTGCAGGTTTTCACAAGGCATGTCTAAGGGTGCGTTTATTGGGTCTTGCCCACTATCATACCCCACTATCGAACCCCACTATACGATCGTGATTTGCGGGATGTCGCGTTTATCGTCTCTTCATGTTTCACAATAAAGGCCTTGTCTCTGCGCAGCTGCTCAGTGCCGTTTGACCCGGGAAGCAGACAGTTTCTCGGAGGTCAACTACACACGTGCTTGTACAACAACATGACACAACACATGGCGCGCGCTAGCCCCCGAACCGGAAATTAACCTGGGAGGTCCGATTTGTATGTGGGGTTCAAAACAGCTTTGTGTTTATCATCTCTCAGAAACGTGATTCTGGCTGTATGTCACATTCAAAACACACCTTTTTGCGTCTTTAGATATGCCCATATCTAAAGACCTTTAAAAAAGGCTTTGCGTTTATCACCTCAAAATTTGCCTGAAAGACATTTGAGAAACCTGATTCAGGCAAAATTTGCCTGAAAGACATTTGAGGAACCTGATTCTAGGCAAAAATTTGGTCAATAAACGCACCCTAAGACTTCACCTGAGTGATTTCAGATGAATCAATCACTCAGTTATTAAAATGTGTCTCTGGCCTTTTAGGTAATTCTATTTGATGGTCCACGATGGAAGAGATTTGTTGATTTGGTACAGACTAGATTTGCATCAGCTGCTAATGAGCTGTATTCACTTATTTTTATTGAGAGAGAGAGAGATACAAATCTTGAGAGTCTACTAAATGGCTCGATGGCTCAGTGGTAAAGCAGCGCATGGTCTCACAACTGAGAGGTTCTAGTTCAATCCAAGTCGATGCGCTTGTGCCCTTTGGTAGGCCATCGATCCTCATTATCAAGTACCTCGGGGAGGACTTAAAGCCGTTGTTCCCCAGGCTACTTACAAGCATATATTGTCAGCCTTGCACTCTTATTTTTGGTTATGTGATAAGATCGTGCTGTCATGAAGTGACACAACAGGAAAAGTAAGTAAATTTAATAAATAGGGAGTCAAGTGATAGTGTATTGTGTATTGTTATCTCTGACATGACCTTGCTGTCTCTCCCTTCATTATGTTTGTAGATTTCCCTGCTAGGATAACTAGTTACACGCCTCTGACGAGGAGACTAAGTGTTGTAGAGGATGACTCTGCCAAGTTCATCTGTCATTCTAAAGGAAGACCTGATCCAACCATAACATGGACCTTCAAGGGATCATTGGTAAGCAGGCTGCTGAACATTCTTAAAGTAGCTTGGCGAAGAAATTTCACATACCGTATTTGCCGGCGATAAGGCCGCAGCGCCGTATAGGCCGCACCCCCGATTTTGACATTAAAAAAAAAAAAAAAAAAAAAAAAGTTTTTTTTTGTTTTTGTGGTTGTTGTTGTTGTTTTGTTCCCGAAAACCCACGCGGGGAAGGACCTTCATTTAACATCGAGGTGCAGTTAAAGGCGCTGATTTGTGCTTGTAAACTTGTCACAAATAATAGTAACAATGTCGTTTTTAGAAGAATGTGTAAGATCATTAATGTGAATTAAAAACAAAAGAGTACTAGGTCCTAGGATAGTACCTTGTGGTACACCATTTGTTATATAAAAAAAATTGAGGAATTATTAATATAAACTACATATTGAGATCTATTAGAAAGATTACTTTCAAACCAAGATGACAGACAATGATACCAACATTATTAAAGTTAAAAGCCTTTTGAAACCTTCGCTCAGCTACTTTAACACTTTTTTTTTTTTCTCGCATCCCTGCACACTGCATTCATATCAGTTATCAGCATAAAGATGTGAAAAAAATGTGACCTTTCTCCGTTTTTGTTCATGTGGATTTTGTTGTTGCTTTAAAGTATATAATCTTGACCCAGATGAGTGTGAAAATATTCAATTCTAATGAAAATCAGTCACTATGAAGAAGAAGCACTCTCAGCTGTACTGTTGCAGTACCATGAGTTCTGTTGCCAGAAGGTATATAATATTGACCCAGATGAGTGTGACTTTATTCAATCTAATTCAGTCTAATAAAATGTCAACAGAGGGTCAATATTATATACTCTATGGTGACAGAGCACCGGCATGTGGAGGCCCTAAACTGTGGAACGCTATTTCAGTATCGCTACACTCCATTACATTTTTTAAAGCCCTTAAACGTTATCTTTTTGATAAGGGTTATCGTGAATTGTTAATTGCACTTTGTAAAGTGCGTTGTGAGGGCCTATGGTCCTGAAATGCTATAGAACTTATATTGATTATTAGTTCTGTTTAGTTCTTTGACACTCCCTTTATTTTGCCCCTGTTATGAATTACAGTTGACCAATGGGATCAAATACACCATCAGTGAAACTGAGGGAAGCCTAGTGATCAACAATGTCAAGAAAGTGGATAGCGGAGAATATGAATGCACAGCAGAAAACTCTATCGATGGAGAAGATTATGAGGCAACAGGTAGTGCTACCCTCACAGTGCTAGGTGAGAGTTTTTTTTTATAATTTTCATTTTTGTTTGCTTTATTTTAGTTTCAAATTGTAATCCCTTCTCTTAAATTGTTCCTCTTGCATAGGGTTGCAAATACCACTTTTTATAGTTCTGCCAAAACATTAATTAAAATTTTCTGTTGAATACAAAAGTAGCAACATATGCAGACACTACCTTGTGTCATATTGCTATATATTCCTACAAAAGCAATGTTTGGTCAAGTGTTTGCAAGATTTTAAAATGTATCATATTTGCCCCAATATACTAATGTTTACTTCAATTGGTCATGTAACCCATAAACAAGACTTGACAAATGTTATGCTGATCTGTGCATTGATACTGGAGTGTTGCTCAGTCAGTAGAGCGTTCGCCTCACAACCGGGAGGTCGTGGGTTCGAACCCCGGCCGCGTCATACCAAAAGACGTTAAAAGATGGGAGTTGTTGCTACCTTGTTTGGCGTTCAACAATAAGGGATAGAGCAACGTCGATCTGGCGCTGCTCAGTGGCTGCCGGGCTCACGATCAATTGGGCAAAAATAATTTCTGTTTCGGTTTAATAAAATTTGGAGTGGACTATTAGGCTATTATTATTATTATTATTATTATATTATTATTATTATTGCACAATGAAGTTGATAAAGAGAGTTGATATTCATTGTGAATGTGTGATCTCTCCCTCTCATTCCTCCTATGACCACTGAACAGGCAAGACAACAATTTACCTTTCTCCTGCTAACTTGATGATTCGAGGGGGCAATACAGCCACTTTCCAGTGTGAAATAACGTATGACGAGGAGCTGATTGAACCCTATGTCTTCTGGATGAAAGATGGCCAGAGACTCGAGGCTAATCAGGTCAATATGCATACACCAGACATTTAAATAGGTCTTCATTTGTCTTTGAAAAGTAGGATATTAGTTTGTTTATCTGCCACTGTGGGCACCCTTAAAAGTAATACAAAGTTTTGGTATGGGGTTCATGCATTTGGTTCAAATAAACATATTGGAAGCAAATGCGATCCTACAGTATTCAGTGATCGTTGTCGCGGTTGAAATCGAGTCTAAGGTTATGAAATTGTAAATAATAAAGTCTTCATGTTATATAGCTCTCTCTCAAGGTCAATATATTAATTAAGCTATAAAACAATGTTTCTTGACTAAAATCGACCAATTAGCTATTCCTGTTTGGAAATTATATATCACAACTACATATTCTGAGATTTTCATGGTCGCAGCTACCATTGTACGGCCGTAGGTGCTATTTGAAATTTGACAAAATTTACCGGAAACACCAGTAAATTTTTATATTCAATTTTTCTTGAAAGCAGAAGTGTTTTAGGGGCTAAATTTTGTAGTGCTTATACTACATCCACAGGGGCATCCAAATATATCAAAATTGTAAAGAATCACTATCCAACCAATTTCCAAAATTTTCCAAAACTTTGTATTACCTTTAATCGTGCTTGCACGCCTGTACAACCCTAGCTGCCCCTCCTGTTTGTGGTTGTAGTCCTGCCCTTTGTTTATTATCTTTAGCTACCATTACCACTTGTAACTTTAACTGCCTGCACATCTTCAAGTTATTTACGGTATCACAATAAATCAATGTATCTACCTATTATTTGCTAGTTTATCTAAACTACGCCACCATTGAGCGCCTAAAACAGTACATTCGCGCATGCCCCTTCCCAATACATAGCCTCAAGGGTCCATGTGCACAATCGCACACCTGCCATCTTCCTCTTTCTATTCTCGCTTGCCGAGAGAGAACACCTACAGCTAAGTCATTGCTCAAAATTGAGGATTCTTTTTCCTTTTGACAAAGCTTAGTTAGTTTTTGCGCATTTAATTCCATCCTCATTTTAATTACTATCAATTTGGTGGTACAGGTTCTCGGTCACATATTTGAATTTTTGCGGAAATTTGACTTTCATTTCTACCTCGCAATTTCCTCTTTCGCGATCATTTTTGCAAGCTTTGTTACTGCGCTGGGTTTGGCGTTCTGTTTCGATTTAGCAGCCTTTTGTTGTTTGGGATTTTTACGTTGGTTGGGTGGATAATTTATTCACCTGCCTAGCATCCCTCCTTAGCTCCATGGAAATGCTCAACCCATCTTTTGAACAAGATCATTAATGACAACAATCTTCTCTGCCTGAATAACCTGTCCCAGGACCACACCTCTTACACCTACTGTAGTGATGACGGTGTTGACAAATCCAATCACACATTTCACTTCAAGAATTTCTATGTTATAGTCGTATGCACTCAACTAAGCAGCCTGTCTACAACCATCTCTTCCATCCCTCTCTCAAAACCAGTTGGCACCAAGCTCAGTAGAGTAAACAGAATGAAATCCCAGAATCATATTCTATGGTCCCAGAAGACTGCTGCAAAATGCTATGGGCACATCTTCCAACAGACCCAACAGACCCAAAACACCTAACACCAGAAGATGCAGAGTCGTTATTAGACCAACTGACCAAGCACATGCTGGAAATGTCTCTCACTTTCCCACATTCCATCTCGGGCCACAGTAAGGGAAGGAAACCAGAGTTGCCCAGCATGGTAAACTGCTCTTACAGCCAAGAGTAATCTCCTGGATGAGGTGAAAGCTGCCCATAGTAACAACCATCAGCTATTCCACAAATTGGTTCAGCAACTCAATCCCTTAGGCACTTCCGTTGTACAGAATCCATAACTTACAAAGGTAGAATCTTATCAGGACTAGAGATCATACAGGGGCGGCATCTACTTTGCTGGTCTCTCACATCCAGAGGACTATCCCAGGTGCAAAGTGGATGCTGAAATCACAGCGTTGATAGACTTTATGTTCAGTCCTACTCTAATCTTCACTTCTGACAAATTCAATGCAGTAATCTCCAGACTCAAGCCAAAGAAGGCAGGAGGTATAGATAACTAAGGACCTGAGCACATCCTTCACACAGGACCTGTCAATTGCCGTCTCTTCCTCCTGTTACTGAATAACGTTATCCATCGTATCAACATCCCAGAGAGCTTCAAGAAAAGCCTGATCCTCCCCATCTATAAAGGGAAGGGCAAGCCCCTAAGCAACCCATCAAACTACAGGGGCGCTGGCTAAAGTCTTCTGCAAACTCTTGGAGATGAGAAGAGCGGATGGGCCAAGCCCCCCGCCTCGGACATGGCCAATGACCCAAACTCTGACCCGGTTCATTCCGTTCAGTGTTCGCCGATCTTGGCTCATGCTGCTCCTCATATCGTGGCGGCGCTTGGCGCCCCTCCCGTTGAGGAGTCATCCGGTCCGTGGGTGTGCCCGCACTCTTGGGGCCAGGCTCCCTATGAAGCCAAATTCGGTGACCAAAATGCTGATTCTGGTTCGGAATCCTTGGCAAGTGTGTCCCCCCAAGTGCCTCAGGGTTTTGCAGCAGACGCCTAGGCTATGCTGGCAAAAAAATTGCCTGAGGCTTTTGCCCCGACTCAGTCGGAGGAAGCCTAGGTTTTGGTGTTTTTCCGTCAGAATGCTCCCTCCAGGGGGATTCCTCTGACATGTGATTTTAAGGCTACAATAGTGTGGCTGCAGAGGTGTCTCCCAAGCTGGTAGTTGGTTAAGGGTTCGCTTTCGGGTCTCAGGACTCACACAACTTTTTCTCGCCCGACCTGTCTCAGGGGGCGGCAAGGTTGGGTGTCAATTTCAAGAGTCGCCAGTACCTTGCTTTAGACAAGCCGGTGCGGTCTAGCGAGGCCCAGGCCAGATCTTACGGCATACCTGGGATCTATTTTTAGCAAGAGGGTCAGGGCTCCTGAACTGGCTATTTCCGAGGCTGACGGGATGATCTTAGACGAGATCTTGCTGTCAGTGACAGGGTCGTAGTAGTCACAGCTCTCTGCGGGGCTGCTTAGGCTACGAAAATCTGGAGAGAGTTTGCTCTCTCCGCCTTGGGGATTCTTAAGAGGTTCGTCCCCTCTCTTTTGGCGGGGATACCCTCTTCGGAGGAGCACCTGTTTGGGGGTCAGTTCGCTGCAATTCTGCAGCGCTAGCTTGACTCCCGTAAACAGGCAGCGGAGATGGCCAAACAGCTACATCCGCTGCAACCAACCCAACCCAGGCAGAAGGCGTAGACTCTTTTTCGCCGTCGAGTAGGGTAGGCACCACCTCGTGTGCAAGCACCTGTTGTCTCCCAACCAACGGGTGGCTTTGGGCCATCTCGAGGGAGAGGCTCCTTTAGGGGCAGAGGGAGCGTCAAGGCCCGGCAGGGCTCTGGCCAGGTCAGGGCAGGCTTTTTGATGTCATGCCCTTGGCCGGGGATCACAAAGTAGGCGGACGGCTTCAGCTCTTCCTTACCGCTTAGAAAGCGATTACCGAAGACTCATTCCTACGCTCCGTCGTGCGAGACGGGTTCTGTATGAGGCTTGCAGAGCCCGTCCTGCACGACGCGATTCGTCCACCGGCCTTATCCGCCTTTTTTTGACAATATATCTCAGCTGAGATACAGTTGCTGCTGGAGAAGGGCGCCATCCACTTCTGTGTCTCTCCCCGATTTTTGTGATCCCCAAGTGCTCGGGGAAGTTGCAGATGATATTGAATATGAAAATGATCAATACTTTCATCCCCCCCCCCCCCCGGTAAATTTTCGGATGGAGAACTCGGCCTCCATCTTGCCTATGATCGAGCAGACGTACTGGGCCGTCTCGCTCGATCTGAAGGACGCATACTTTCATGTCCAGATTCATCCCTGTTTGCGGGATCCCCTGGGTTTCGCCTTCGAGGGCGAGACCTTTAGGTTTTGTGCCCTTCCGTTCGGTCTCAGACCAGCCCCTTGCGTTTTCACCCATGTGGTGGCGGCTCTGGCTGGTTTTCTGAGGAATCGCGGCCTTCACCTTTTTGTCTATCTAGACAACTGGCTTTTGCTGGCAAGTTCGGAGGTGGATCTCCGGGTTTAGTTGCGCCTGTCGGCTTCCTGGTCAACTGGGAGAAATCGGAGCTATCTCCCACTCGTACCCCAGTGTACTTGGGTGCGGAGATAGCCATCCCGAACCAGGTCGCTCAGCCCAACCGCGGCAGGGTGCGAGCCAAGCGTTGGCTGCAGTTTCTGGGATACCTTGCCAGTTTGATCGAGGTAAGACTTCTCATGAGGTCCTTTCAGAGGCACCTGCTGAAGTTTTTTACACCCAGCATCGATTCCCTCAATGAGTGGATTCCAGTATCGAGGGAAATCGTATGTCTGCTCGCCCCCTGGGTGATCGTTTCGTTTCTGGCGCGGGGCAAGCCTCTGCAGACCCCTCTTCCATCGGTGTCTCTTGCATCGGATGCGTCACTTCTTATTTCTCATCTCTCAAGAGCCCTTTTCTCTTGCTTCTTGAGAGTCCATCTGGAGATGGATAATGGAAGCTATTCTGACGGCTGGCCTGAGGCCCTCCTCCCAGAGGACCAGGGCCCACGATACCAGAAGTATCAGTACTTCCTGGGCGTTGTTCCAGGGAGTGGGTTTGGACTGCATTTTGAAGACCGCCTTTTGGCGGTCTCCCAATTAATTTACGTCATTTTATCTTAGAGACGTCCCCTCTGGGAAGGATTTGTTTGCAACCCTAAGGGCGGCTTCGTCTTGTTTGGGACATGCATCCCGGTCCTTTCTGTGCTGGTCTATATAGCAAATAATAGGTAGATACATCAATTTATTGTGGTAAATCAGAAAAATTGGAACTGATTTTATTGTTTACTATATAAATCTATGTATCTACCTATGTCCCTCCCTTTGTCCCTTCTCCCTCCCTCCGTCCTTGCCCGGCAACAAGTCCGAAGCCTTGTCTCTGGCTGCTCGTGAAAGAGGATGAATGGTGGGCATGTGTTGCGCACGTGGGGGTGGGGCATGCGCAAATGTGACGTTTTAAGTTCTTGATGGTGGCGTAGTTTAGATAAACTAGCAAATAATAGGTAGATACATAGAATTATATATTAAACAATAAAATCAGTTCTGATTTTTCTGATTGACTACCTTGTCAAAAAGCTCAGAGTCCAGCATGTCCCTGCCTGACAGCAAATGAAACAGTCAACCACTTGATAGGAGCATGCATGCCCCCCGTTCATCAAGACCACATTAATTTGCACTCAACACCTACATGTACTACAATCAGTTCCTCCCAATTTCGTGGCCAAAGTCACCACAAATATCATCCTCCTTGGAGTCAATGATGACCCACCCATTACTGCCCAGACCCTGGGTTACCGTGCCGCATCCCTAAAATTTATCCTGGAAATGCACTTAAAACGATCTTCTGTGAACAAAGCAGCTTCTGCATAAGCTGTCATTAGCACATCTTGTAAATATTTAACGTTTTTGTACCCCTATTATATTGTCTGCTTATTCTCCACTAAATCACTCTGGGAAGGAAACAACTCCAAATCAGGAGGAAATCAAGAAGAAAAAGATGACTTTCTCTCATTTTGGTTGATTTTTCATTATTGTTTGTGTTAATACTTGTCAGAGAAAGGAAATGATTATTATCCATCTGAGGGTTTAAATCTGAAAACCAAGAGTTGCTTGTTTACTGTAGATGTATTAAGTCTTACTCTTCACCACTGTTTGTTGGTAAAGTGATAACTGTTTAGTATCTTTGGGCTGTTTTTATGTACTTTATTCTTCCAAAGTTGTTTCAGAAATTGTTGGGTTAAAAAAAATGCACTATTTATTGCATACACAGATTTTTTAAACAAAATGCTCTGCACAGTGTTTTTTCGGTTAATTTATCAAAGAAATTATAAGTAGGTATAAAAATATTGAGTATTGCTCATTTTTAAAAGCCTGAATAGCCTTTTGGATTAAAGAAATGAGAAAGTTTAATGAAATTGCATTACCGGTACTACAATTTGTTCTTATTCTTTCCTCCATATAGGACAACTCCCTGAGAATAGAGAATGCCTATCTTACTCATTCAGGAACCTATACATGTTTTGTGGAAACAACCCTTGATGAGTCTGCAGGCACAGTTCATTCAGTGAATGCCTCTGCTCAACTCATTGTAAAAGGTACGACTTAGAAAGTGACATCTACGGTGACATCTTAGATACTCTTAATTGCTTGTACCATCAAGAGCTGCTGAACTGATTCACAGAATCTGTAGAAAATGGAAATAAATCTTCTGAATCATGCCTCAAAACTAATAACCATTTCAGTAAATCTGTAAATATTGACTTCATTGCAGAGCCAACACTTTGAACGTTTATAACAGAAATATGGAACTATACAATGTCAAGAATCATCAACAATTCTGAAGTGCATTACTAACATCACTTGCGCTAAAAAGCCCTTATTTGATTCATTTTTTGATAAATTATATCATTTTTCAAGCCTTATCTATATATGATGTTTTCAATTTCATATTTACACAGTATTTTGTGAAGAAAAATAGTTAATGAGAAGCTTTATTTAAGATTTGATGCATTGTGCTTTTCCCAGGTCGGCCTGAATCTCCTCAGATTCTGATGCTTCGAGCCAAGCAACAAGAGTTTGCAATGGAACTTTTCTGGGAGCCTGGCAATGACAACAACAACAACGCTCCTATCCAATATTACATCATCCAGTACGACACCAAGTGGGCAGATATGCACTGGCAATTCCAAGCAGTAAGTTTGCATAGAAATCATGGGACAGACTTGCCACTGTTGAGGGTCGTATTTCTAAAGTCCACCGCACACTACATGATGGTCCTGTGATCCGATTTTTGAAGAAATTGCGATTTTGTATTAGATAGGAAATCTAAATAAACATCATGTTCTTTATTTAGTATCTAAATAAAGATAAGAGTGCTAACAACCAGAATGTTAGTGCATTGTCCTCTTCTCGTCAGAATAAAAGCTGAATGCATGGCTTCAAATCGTTGACAATGGGCACTACTGAACTGACGTCACCACAATTCTGAACCCATTTAGCTTTTCCTCTTCCAAGGAAGCATGAAATCCTTTGAAACTTAGATTTCATTAATCATATGAATATTCAGATCCTCGGTCATTAAGATTTTACATGTTCGAATGTTCGTATCAAATGGTATGTCAAATTATTTCAAAATCTGATCATAGTCAGATTGTATCATGCGCAGTGGGCTTAAAGCATATTTGATGTGCATAGATATGTTATATTTTCACCATCTTTGACATCATCATCATCATCATCATCATCAGCAGCAACAGCATCATCATCAATATCATTATTATCATCAAAGCATAATTTCTGTTTGGCCTGAGTCATCAGAGGTTTTACTGAACCCGGGTTTGAATAGGAAAAAACGGGTGGGGACCTCGTACCCGAAAATTCAAGTCAATGGCGACTAAAATGCATTGACCGTGTTTGACCGTGATTTTAAACAAATAATTGAATGCCCACCTATGTATACACCGCCGGTGCTAAGTCATTTGACGAGGGGCGTGGGGGTAAACATCGGGTGCAAAGGATGAGGGAAAGCAGCGAGTAGATCAACCTCTCTTTAGAAATCTAGCCATCTGATTGGTCGAAATTGCAGTCGTGATTTTGGATATTCCCGCAAAGAGACAAACACATAGTCAATAGTTCATGAGTGATATCCGTTGCCCTGAGTAACAGCCCCCATGAATCTATTATGCTCAGATCCCCTTTAGTTTAACCCGTTAAAAAAAAAAATTGCGAGCACGGACACCATACAGTGCTTTTAGTCTGCGATTAAATGAATGAATGTTTCAGTCATTTTTCAAGTGAAGATAAACAGACAGTTTCTCAGATTTTCTGTGATGTTTTAACCAATCTTTACTTAATAAAAGGATAAGGTAAGAATTCTTAGTCGAGGCCTGGCTGTTTTATATGCTCTCAGGAACTTGCACATCTTGCCATGACCCCTCAGGCCTCTCAAGGCAGTCGATGTCTATATACTATTAAAGTTGCACAAACTTGATTTGCATTCACTGAAGTTATAATTGCTAGCACAATAACATTCATTCTCCATGTCATATTTTCTGTTTGTCAACTCCAGATATATATTTCTCATTCCAGGTGTACCACTAGTTAACTCAACAACCCTGACAAAAAAAAATATTCCCAAGATCATCACTTCACAACATGCATGCAATCAGATTCTTTCATTTGCCCTATTCCTCACCAGACTACAGTAAGAAGAGACTCCCTCCACCCCTTCAAATGAACCCGTCCAATCATGGTTAGTCTTGCCTACTTGCCATGTGTATATAAGTTGCCAAATGGACTGGTAACCCAGGTTAACAAAACATGCGTAAATAAATGTGGGAATGCATAAGCGATCATTTTTAGCTGTTGGGGTGAAATTCGCTAGTGGCTTGAACGAATTCATGGGGACTTTATGGGGACTTGTTAATGTGATGAAAACCCTAAACCCAATAACACAAAACTAGGTTTCAGCTCGATGGTCAGGGACCAGTGTCAACTCGGGACTAATTTGTGTTGTGATTTTGAATTCACTTATTAATTTGTATTTCTCTCTCGATCTCTCTCTCTCTCTTTCTCTCTTTAACAGAATGAGACCTCCAGCGGCCTTGCAATCTATCGCAAAGTGCTTTACCTGCAGCCGTTCGTAGACTATCGCTTCCGTGTCATTGCTGTGAACGAGATTGGGGAGTCTGAACCAAGTGCGGGAATAGCTCCAACGGTCGATCCTCAAGTTGCCCCACCCTCTGAAAACCCAAGCGTACCGGTAGTCAGCGGAAGTAGCACTAGACCCGAATCGATGGTCATAAGATGGCAGGTAGGACCTCAAAAGATGATGAGATTGTAAGGTTCTTATTCTTAACATTTCTACTGACTATTTGGCAGTCTTTAACATAATGATCAAGGTATTTAATATATAGATATAGAAATCAAGAATGTTCAGGTGTTTGCTTTATTTTATTTTCATTTCCTATTTTAAATAAAAAATACAAATACTTTGTATTATTGTAGTAGTTAAATAAATGGTTGGCAATGATTGCATATTCATGTGTATTTGTTGGTTCCCAACAATAATAATAACGATGTCTTTTATAGGCCCCAGTATCCACCAGCTCAGGTGCTCATGGCACTTGCTCCAAAATATGATACATATATTACCTGAACTTTGTAGATGCACTGCTTGTAGCATATACAGTTGAAACAACCATAAATTACCCAAGAAATACTCATTGGCGGTGTTCATTCAGTAGTTGCTTTACATCAGAATTAGCTAGTTTTTCAACTAAAGAGATGCGTTTTGAGCAATACTTGAGCATAACTTGAGCATAACTTGATGGTTACTTGAATTCTATGTTTTCAGGCAATTCACCCCTTCTACTACGGTGGGGATGGTTTCCACTACGAGGTTGCATACAGACCCAGGATTTCAAGTGCACCATTCACAAAGGCTACAGTAGACCCAGAAAACACTGATGATAATCCTACTGGAATCATCCAGAATTACATTGTAAATGCCAGTCAAATTTGCGAGGAGTTTGAGTTCTCTGTACAATCAATGAATAGTGAGGGACCAGGACCCGAACCTGAGATTCATCATGGGGTCTCTGGAGAAGCTTGTAAGATGCACTCTTCATTCATTCATTTTGTTTTTAAATGCATAATTGCAGTCATACAACTGAATTGACATGGATTACAATCGTGTGATTAAAAAGAAATGTACACAAATGAGATAGAAAAAAAACAAATTTACGATCCTTGTAACATAAAAATATTTGTTGAATCTACTTGTAGATATAGGATTAATTAATGTATAAGGTATAACCTACCTCACAGGGTCCTAAGCTTTGCAGTAAATGCCTGCACAGTTCACTCTCAGGTGTATTGTGATACTGTTGAGGTGCAGTGCAGATGTGTGTACATTAATGTCTGATAAAAGGTACAGTAATTGATCAAGTCAAGTAAAAACAATTACCCTTTTAGCGGAGCTGGGTCTTCTGTACCTCTTGCTTGAAGCTGTTAACAGAGGTACAATTAATGGTGTTCTAAGGGAGAGAGTTCTAGAGTCTTATTACATCCGGGAAGAAACACCTCTGGTGGACCAGAGTTCTGGCAACCCAGGTCGAAATTCCAGTTGATACCAGTTGAAACCAGTAAGGATTTCCAACTGGTATCTACTGGTTTGATTTGGTCTCAACTGGTCTCAACTGGTACCAGTTGATACAATTTGGAAACCAGTAGAAATACCAGTTGACATCTGAGACGTACCAGTTGATATTACCAGTTGATTTACCAGTTGCTTTACTAGTTGAAAACCAGTAGATGATTACCAGTTGATTTACAAGTTGAAAACCAGTAGATGATTACCAGTTCATTTTACCAATTGAAAACCAGTATATGATAACCAGTTGATTTACCAGTTGAAAACAAGTAGATGACTCCAGTTGATTTACCAGTTGAAAACCAGTAGATGATTACCAGTTGATTTACCAGTTGAAAACCAGTAGATGATTACCAGTTGATTTCCCAGTTGAAAACCAGTAGATGATTACCAGTTGATTTACCAGTTGAAAACCAGTAGATGATTACCAGTTGGTTTACCAGTTGAAAACCAGTACGATTACCAGTTGATTTACCAGTTGAAAACCAGTAGATGATTACCAGTTGATTTACCAGTTGAAAACTGGGGGGGGGGGGCATGACGTCTCCGCCCGCCTTTGTATTCTATTGTTTTTTAATGAGATCGCCGACCCAAGTTGGTGCAGCTATCTCCTCCTGAACCCACCCCTCGGGGTCCCGGTGACCGGTGCCATCGTCCGCGGGAGAGTCTACTCTGTCGAATTGGCTATACTCCGCCCGAGGTCCTCCTCCGTGTCGACGTCCAGGGCGAAAACAGACGCGATATGCATAATGCAGGATATGCGTGACGACAGAGATACCTCATGGATATTCAACATGACATCCGTAGACACACGACCGATGACCGTCCACTCACATTAAGTTGCGTATTAAATGCACGCTGAATGGGTACGACTTACACCGTGTTAGGTATCTTTCTATATGATATTCTCTATATTCTCTGCATGCCGCCGCGCCGTCGATCACACTCATTTCTTTGCAGTTCTCAAAGAGACACACAACAGATGACCAACAACTCACATTATGTTGCGTATTAAATTCTCTATGCAAAGGGCGGGATCACCGAGAGTAAAGCGTCTTGCTATAGGATGTGCTTTAGCTCTGCACAATTAAGCCAGATAAATACACGGGGCTTCCCGTCGACGTCCAAACTTAGAGACCTATTTCCATCATGATTGCCGCGATTTTTATATAGTTTTCGTGAATGGAGGTATGAAATCAAAGCTTATTTTGTGATTATTACGGCCATGTATACTCCATTTTGATTATCATTTTCTAAAGGAAAGTTTTCACAAGAAAACCATTGGACTGACAGTTGAGTCGCAAGCTAACTTCAGTCAATACACGGTGCTGCGGCCGGGGCGCTTTGACCAAGATGCTTTGACTGAGCTGCGCTAGAGTCGAAGAGTTTGGGGGGCCAAGCAGGCCAATATTCGTACAACTATACAACTACACATACGTCTATCCATCCATCAAAGAACCCGTCAACACAACAGCGTAGAGGCCGAAGTGCCATAAATTTGTTTCTTATATTTACAGTAAATTACAAGAAAGCATTAAATAAGGTTATGAATTGTACATTTACATATTAATAGTTCAATATCAACCAGACAGAAGTAGATCTATGTGACTTCATTGTTCATGCATTGCAAACAGTCAGTTGCGTAATGAGTAAAATCGTGGGGGGGGGGGTGCAGAAAGAAAATCTGCATCACCATGCACCATTCTTCCATGTTACATGCAGGCTCCAAGAAACGTTCTTCAAAGGTGGGGGGGGGGGGGGAGATCAGATCGCAGTGAGTTGAGTGTATATATAATATAGGCGTGGGGTCCACGGGTTTCAAGGGGCCAAACCCCCGAGAGCTTGAGGGTTTTAGACATTTAATTAAGGTCAGATGAGCATATCTTTAATATTTTATTTGTGACACTGGCAGGTCTTCTAATTGGCGTGTGGTCAAGACGTAGAGTTGTGTAGTATTGCGTACCAACTACGCTGGCCTACGGTATATGCAATATGGTGAGGGACGTAAAGGGGTACGCAAGATAAACGAAAACAATTTGACATGTTTAATTTTTTTTGCGTACTTTTGGCGTAGAAACTTGACGCAGAAAGTACGCCTTTTTACGCAACAGTATGCTACCCTACGCCAGATCGACAAAGCAGTAAAAGCTTTCCACACAGTAAGCAACCATAAGCAAACCTGTACGCCAGCTTACGCATAACCTACGCAGGGACTATTTTCCCATTAATACGCAACCTAATTTCTGCGTAGTCGGTACGCCACACTACGGAACTGGTACGCAAGATGAACGAAAACAATTCAACATGTTAAAAAAAAATTTGCGTACTTTCGTTGTAGAAACTTGACGCAGAAAGTACGCCTTTTTACGCAACACCATGCTACATGTACATGCCTACGCAACAGTACGCTAGCTACCCTACGTCAGATCGACAAGGCAGTAAAAGCTTTCCACACAGTAAGCAACCATAAGCAAACCTGTACGCCATGCAGCTTATGCATAACCTACGCAGGGACTATTTTCCTAATACGCAGCCTAGTTTCTGCGTAGTTGGTACACCACACTACGGAACTGGTACGCAAAATGAACGAAAACAATTTAACATGTTTAATTTTTTTCGCGTACTTTTGGCGTAGAAACTTGACGCAGAAAGTACGCCTTTTTACGCAACACTACGCTACATGCCTATGCAACAGTACGCTACCCTACGCCAGATCGACAAAGCAGTAAAAAAGCTTTCCACACAGTAAGCAACCAAGCAAACCTCTACGCCAGCCTACGCATAACCTACGCAGGGACTATTTTCTCATTAATACGCAGCCGAATTTCTTCGTAGTCGGTACGCCACACTACGGAACTCTACGCAGTTCCAGTGGCTTAAAGAATAACTACCGGTACAGTTGGATTGTTTTTTTTTCATCTAATATAAGGCGAAATTAAAAAAACAAACATGCTTTTAGCGTCCTGTTTTTTTCGAAAAATGGGAAGGGGGAGGCCCTTTTTTTTTTTTCTTTCAAAATGGCCGCTCTGTACATTTTCCCTGATTTTCGGGCTTTTTTTCAAGATGGCGGCCAACAATTTTTTTTTTTTCTTTTTTAAAATCAGAAATACATTTTAGCAGTGCTTTTCATGTTTTTTTTCTTTCAAAAAAAAAAATAAATAAAAAAAAAAAAAAAAAAAAAAAAAAATAGGAGGCGGCCCCCAAAAAGGAAGCGGGCGGGGACGCTAAACATGTATATTTTTTAATGGCCTGAATGGCAAATAAAGTTCTTGGTGGTTTTAATTTAGACAGTCTCTATCTATTTACACCCTCCGCCCCCCTCTAGAATCCCGCGGATTTCCGCGGGTCCTGCTAGTTGACAAATATATTACACATGTCTGATCATGTTTTTCATCTAATTTAAGACGTAAAATTAGATATATTGATATATGTAATTTCTAACCAGAAATAAAGTGTATAAATTTGTATATATGTATGCACAAACTTTACATGTCATCTCACATAATACACATCTGTAATCTACTTCAAAAGATCATTGTGATGGGGTAATTGCAAGAGTTAGTATATGTGGTCAAGTAGGTGACCAGATGCTAATATTGATTATCGATTATCAGTTGATTGAATACTAGATAACTATCTGAAAAATCAACTGGTAATTCAACTGGAAATTCAACTGGTAAATCAACTGGTAAATGATGCATTGTGTTTCTCCCAGGTCGGCCTGAATCTCCTCAGATTCTGATGCTTCGAGCCAAGCAACAGGAGTTTGCAATGGACCTTTTCTGGGAGCCTGGCAATGACAACAATGCTCCTATCCAATATTACATCATCCAGTACGACACCAAGTGGGCAGATATGCACTGGCAATTCCAAGCAGTAAGTTTGCGTTGAAATCTGCTTGTATTCGTTGAAAGATTAACAGAATGTTAATCTTTCAAATCATGAAACTATTCACACTTTTGAACTCATAACCATTTATTATTTGGTACCATCTGCATGGGGTGCATTTTGGTGATAACAACCATGGATGAAGGTTGCAGGGAGACATCTTATAGCCTTGCTAATTCAGATTGTCGGCCCATTTTATAGAACAAATAATACACAGGTTTTTGTTCGTGACGTTATCACAATGTAGCGCAATTCAGGTATTCACAATGGCACAAAATACACTCGGTACACCTCAGGAATTTTATTGCAGACCGTTGAGGCTATACCTCTGCACTTGGTTCAGACTCCCCAATCTTGTTCACAGCAATGACACGGAACTGATAGTTATCAAAACACCAATTCCTAGAAAATAGGAACAACATAGGCGGTCAAATGCGATTTTAAATAAAAGACGGTGTTTCAATAGGGTGCATTCACATCAAAATAGAAAATAAATAGTAAAATATAGCAAAAATATATTTTTCCACAGCCCATTTGACGAGGATCATCATCATCAGCAGCAGCAGCTGCATCATCATCATCAATGTCAACATCATTATCATCATCAATATCATCATCATCATCATCATCACCTTGTTCCTAATGCTGTTATCACACTTATTGATCATAAATTCTGTTGTGATTTTGAATTCAGTTATTAATTGGTATTTCTCTGTCTCTGTCTCTCTCTCTCTCTTATTCACAGAACGAGACAGCAAGTGGCCTTGCAACCTATCGTAAAGTGCTTTACCTGCAGCCATTCGTAGACTATCGGTTCCGTGTCATTGCTGTGAACGAGATTGGGGAGTCTGAACCAAGTGCGGAGGTAGCCTCAAGGGTCGATCCTCAAGTTGCCCCACCCTCTATAAACCCGAGCGGAGTCAACGGAAGTACCACCCGAACATCGACGGTCATAAGATGGCAGGTAGGTACTCAAAAGATGATGAGATTCTAATTTTTTTTTTCTTAATATTTCTACCGACTATTTGGCAGTCTCTATTTATAATGATCAAGGTATTTAATATAAAGATATAGAAATCAAGAATGTACAGTTATTTGCTTTATTTTATCTTTATTTCCTATTTTGAACAAACAATGCAAATACTTTGTTCAATTGTAATAGTTAAAGATAGACAATGATTACATATTCATGTGTATTTGTTGGTTCTTGACAAACATAATATCAATGTCTTTTATAACCCTGGTATCCGTCAGCTCAGGCGCTCATGGCGCTTGCTTCAAAATGTAATATATACATTACCTGAACTCTGTAGATGCCATGCTTGTGGTATATACAGTTAAAACAACATCAAACTGCCCAAGAAATACTCATTTGCAGTATTTATTCAGGAGTCAGTTTACATCAAATTTAGCTATTTTTTCAACTGGAGAGATGTGTCTTGAGCATTACTTGAGCATTACTTGAGCGTTACTTGAGCATAACTTGAGCATAACTTGAATTCTGTGTTTTCAGGCAATTCACCCCTTCTACTACGGTGGGGATGATTTCCACTACGAGGTTGCGTACAGACCCAGGCTTTCAAGTGAACCATTCACAAAGGATTCAGTATACCCAGAAAACACTGATGATAATCCTACTGGAATCATCCAGAATTACATCGTAGATGCTAGCCAACTTTGCGAGGAGTTTGAGTTTTCTGTACGATCAATGAATAGTGAGGGACCAGGACCCGAACCAGAGATTCATTATGGGTTCCCTGGAGTAGCCTGTAAGTTGCACTCTTCATTCATTCATTAGTGTCATTTTATTATTTGTATGCCTCCGCTACAAAGTAGCTTGAGGCATTATGTTTACGGATTGTCCGTCTGCACGCAAGCGCGTAGCCAGGATTTCATTTTAGGGGGCGGTAGTGAGCACGCAAAGCATGCGAATCACTTAAAGAGCGTGCATAGCGCGCTCCCTAGGGGGATGGGTGCAGGGAGGGGGGAGTTTCCCCCCTCCCGAGCAAAGCGCGGAAGCTTTGAAAGAAGACAATTCGTTGTACCTTTCTCGACTCATAATCCTTGTCTGAATTCAGTCCGCCCCTCCTGCGCATAGCACGGAAGCTTTGACGTATTATTAGACAAAGAAGATTTGTTGTACCTTTCTTAACCCTTAATCCTTACCTGTATTCAGTCCCCCTCTGCGCGAAGCCCGGAAGTTTTGACATTTCATTAATTTATTAGAGAAAGAAGACGATTTGATGTACCGTTCTCGACTCCTTTTCCCTTTTTCTTCCTACGTCCTCTTAATTTTCTTCTTCTCTGTCTCTCTCTTTTTTTTGGGGGGGGCCTGCGTTTTTTTGGGGGCGACTGCCCCCACCGGCCCCCCTGGCTACGCGCCTGTCTGCACTTCCTGTTCTCATGATTTGCGTTATCTCAAGAAATGGTTGAAGGATTAGCACCAAACTTGGGTCATGTGTGTATCTTGCAGAGCCAATGAACTGATTAGATTATGGGGTCAAAGGCCATGGGGCTCATTATGTATCCAAAATAGCTTGTGAAGACATTGTCATTAGTATCGACGACGAATGGATTACTATCAAACTCAGGACATGTATGTATCTTGCAGATCCAATGAACTGAATAGATTTTATGGTCATGAAGTCAAAGATCAAAGGGTACGTCATACATGTTAATGTATATGAAAAATAGCTTGTAATCATGAAAATCTGAGAACCTATTAATGGATTACAATCAAAGTTGAATTTTTAAATTTGCTTCTGCTATGGTTTGTAGAATCGCTCTATGGCGGATGCATCATTTTCGCCTGTGTGCAGTCAAAAGCAGTCGAAGATCTATCTAGTTCAATCCATAATTGCACTCATACAACTGAATCGAAATGATTACAATCGTTTGATTAAAAAGAAATGTACACAAGTTGAACAAAAATGGGATGCAACAAATTAACGATCATTATAAGATATAAGCATTTTCAAACTACAGCTATAAATTTGTTGAATCTACTTGTACATAAGATTCATAAATGTATTAGGTATAACCTACCCCACAGGATCCTGAGCTTTGCAGAAAGTTCCCGCATAGATTCCCTCCCTTCATATTCTAATTTTACATCGTTGAAGTAAATGTTTGATGGAGAAATGCCCCTTCTGCACGAAAAATCCCTGAACACTCCATCATATTTTTGTCATATTGCTCAACCCTGCTCAAAAGATTTATATGGTGCCAAAATAGAATACTGAAGTTTATACACCAAGCCCTAAAGAATAACAGTTCAGGGACCAAACCCCCGTCACATCCTTCTTTTTTTTCTTTCATTTTTCTTTTGGCTTCTTTTTAGTTTTTATTTAGATTTTCTTAATCATAATTCCTTCTCTTTTTCCTCTTGCATAGGGTTGCAAGTACCTTTTTTCTACCAAAACAAAATTTTATTTTAATTTTCTGTTGAATACAAAAGGAGGATTATCTACAGACATATGGTCATGTAACCCATCTAAAGAAAAATTGTGATCTCCCCCTCCCATTCCTTCACCCAGACTACAATTGACCTTCCTCCTGCTAATTTGATGACACGAGAGGTATACATGTACAGTAATTTCAAAACTATTTTTTCTCAGCTTTCCGACAATTTTGTTATTTAATGTAAGAATTTATTTTGGCTGCTTTGGTCTTTTGATAACTCTGAATTTAAAGATGAAAACAGCTACCATTATCAATGAATTCAAACTCATATATGCAATTTTTTGTCCAGGTTTGGCCGATCAGTGACTTCCCAGACCAGGCCATCGACCAAGCCTCTAGGGAGCTTGTCCAACAGCATTCTGGTGCCTTCCAACAAGAACGCGCATCCTACAATTGGTAACAATACTTGTAGACTTCGAGCTATATACTAATCTTTGTACAAGGCATATATTACCATTGTGATGATTACTCTTATTAACTCCATATTAAAATGTTAAAGGTAAAGACCAGTATTGGAAATGCCCCAATTTCAAAAAATGAAATGGAAGCTCTTATTACCAATCATGTGAAAGAATATGTTTTGACTAATACATGATGATACAAATTTTGCCGGGAAACCGCCTACTAATTGATATATTTGGTAAATTAGTTTATCTATTGGCCTGTGAGAGATAAACGCACTTGCCATGCACGTGTGCGTATAGTCCCATATACATCTTTCTGTGCACAGTGCTTGTAACTTTACAAAGACTGGGCCAAATTTCTTGTCATTTTGATGATTCTAGAACCTTGCAGTACACACCAATACGTATATGATCAACATTTTCTGATCAATTCCACAACGTTTCTTTCACAATGCAATCGCATGACCATAACTGGTCTTTATCTTTAAGGCTATACAACAGTTTGATATCAAAATATTACCGGTATGTATGTCTGTATTGTACTCATTGTTATTTGCTGTGAGAAATGAGATGGTATTCTGTCTTATTCCTTTCCTTTGCAGAAAGAAGATGTGTCAAACGTCTTCAGTTTAAATTTATGCCTTAAATTTGTAATCAGTACGAGGTGAATTGGATTGTTTTTATTAGGAGTAATTCAATTCAATTCAATTGAATTTTATTTCGCAATATAAAAATCAAAATATACAAAGTAACAGTAAATTTTAACTATGTTTACAAAGGTTATATGCGGGGCTTTCCACAAAGGTTGCGAAAACCTGTGAAGTTGGATCGCCCATTAAAGAATGAAAAACAATACAAAAAGAAATATAAAATATTGTAAGCACACAACAATAAATTAAATTAAATAAGCAAAGTACAAACACTTCAACTATCTATAAGACAAGAGAAAGTAAAATAGAGAGAAGAACAAAAATATATGAAGGGGGAAAAGAAAAGAAAACAAAATAACAATGAAAGAGGGTTCAGATATAAAAATTAAAAAAAATCAATTGTGCTGATTAATAATTATTTAGTAGTAAGATTTTATATTGTTTTCTAAAGGAAGATACCAGGTATGAATTGTGATTTCGTTTTTACTTATGGAATCATATTCCACTGTTTAGGACCTAGATAACTCAATGATTTAGCTTCATAACTAGACTTAAAAGACCATGAATGAAATTTGTTGGAAAATTGTGTATTATAATTATGATAATTATGAATTTGACTATGATATTGAAATTTGAAATTATCACTGGATTTAGCGAGATTATGTTATTTCGTGTCCAATTGTACCTTGTATGCGTTGCTTGTGTATCAGATTGTAAAAAGAAGGTTTACAATGGATCTTTTTATTAATTTTTCTTGTAAATATTTGTACCATGCCGTCCTTTTTTAATATCTAAATTCTAAGTTCCTTAGAAACGCTGTTGTAAACAATTACCATTTTAAGACATTCAAGACCCTACAAAACTCACCTTAAAAAAAAAATGTTTCCATGGCAACTGTTTATATCTTTATTTCATGTATACTTGTATCACCCAAAGGTTCACCATGGATAATTAAATTGCTTTATAGAAGGGGAACCTCCCCCCTCCCCTTGAATATAAAATTTAAAAATCTGTCACATTTTGTTACAATTAACGAGACATTTCATTGTGACACTTTTGGTTTCTTTGAACATTTTGTGACATCAAATCTTTCAGCATAAGAAATATTGCACTAATTTTCAGTATTCACTTTTAGAAAAGTGTGAAGACTATGATTCAGATTTGAGGGAAGTAACCAACTCTACTTTGTTGCAGGAAAATAATTGATTTAGACATGTTGGCAACAAGTTATTTGTAGTACTACTATAAGTCATAGTTCTAATTCAGAAGATGTTTTACTACTTTCAACTTATTTCTGTAGAACGATTTTGTAACATTTGATTTTAAACGTTTTAAATCTTGAATCAAAGAATGAGGATGACAAAATGTAAATTTTCTGATTTTGCAAATTATATCAACAATTCCAAAATGTATATACCATGTTTATAATGTGTGTACTATTAGTCCTTTAATCTTGCCTTCTCAATTACAAGCCATGATCAAGTTCCAATTATGTTATGCTGCTAATTTTAGTAGTCTTTTCTTTCTGCTGTTATGGCATAGATTGATTGAATAAAATGTTGATCATATTATACATCAATATCATTATGTATGATTTTGATTCTTTTATATGTCCTCCTCTGAGTCACTGAATGTGCTTCAAGCCCTTACCTTCTGTCACCCCCCCCCCCCTTTCTCTCTCTCCCTCTCTTTCTTTCTCTCTCTCTCTCTCTCTCTCAGGTTAAACATGTGAATCACTCTTCATTTGAAGAGTGCAATGATTCACAGGTTCAGAAAAATATGAATCTGCAAGACAATCATATTTATAGAATTTCATTTAAATAACAGATGTTAATAAATGTATTATACAATTGATAAGAAGTTAGAACTGCACTATTATTATTATTATTATCTAGATGTTTTTTTTTTAATCGTCTGTTTTCTTTTGGCATTATGTTTTCTGGTTCGTCCATCCCGTTCTCGTGAAGGGAAAAAAAATTAATATTTATTTTTCGGGGGCTACTTTTCAAGCTTGCCTGCATGAAAATAACACTCTAAAATTTGTTTTGCATTGAACTTTATGAAAATTTACGGGGGCTAGCTCTTTTATGAATTTCGGGTGCTGTATTGGGCATTTCGGGGGCAATTTCGCCCCGAGCCCCAGTGTATTTTATTCACTGTTCTCATGATCGCGTTATCTCAAGAATTGATTGATGGATTACTGCCAAACTCGGGACATGTGTGTATCTTGCAGAGCCAATGAACTGATTAGATTTTATTCGCAACAGCAACATTTTATACACAAACATCCATTAGCTACCAATCACTGTTAAAAGTACTATGTCCCATTTGCAGGCCAAAAAAATGAAAAGGTTAAATTCCAATTTTAATGACAATGCTAATTAAAGACTTCCCTCAAAACGAAAGGGCTTGAAAAACGGCTTTTAGTGGGAAAATAACGTCCATAAGGTGACAAATTTTAGAAGTGATTGCAATCACCTAAGTTATAGTCTGATTTTCAGACCCTTTTACTGAATGGTCATACACAAAGATTCAATCATTTTAATTTTGGCCATTACAAGTAGTGGGTTATTGATGTAAATGTCATGTACCTGTTACAGCTCATTTTATGTATGTTATTACCAGAGAAAAAAAGATGTCGGTCAGTCACTCAATAGTGTCTGACAGTGAAGTCTAGAAGGTAAATGGGTTTTCTTGCATAATTTGACACTTTGGACACTTTGTATGTTTGAATTCACAGATAGGACATACATAGACATATTCATAATTCCTGCAAAGTTCTCCAGAATTTGATGTTGGCTGCAAAAAGGACATAGTATCTTTAAGTTTAAAACATAAGATGACGCTATGTCATTTTGTTGGATACAAGCAACTGCAAGTTGCAATCAATGAATGTTGATTTTCCATAAATCAAAAACAATAAATGGCACAGCTAATATGATCTTTTATGTACTTATTGATAAGTAATTGAGCTATTTCGTTATCTCTTTTATAAAAAAAATACATTACTAGTTATCAATAAACCACTAGTCTTCCCACATTTGTTCGATGTAATATTACCGATGATGAACACGCATAAAACAAGGGTATACCTCTTGTTTCATGAAGTGCATTATAGACAACTCAAATGAAAATGAAATACATATTCAATCAACCTCAATATTATGCGACATAAACTGCATTAAGCCATGTAATTCATGAACATTTTATACAATACATTGCGTACTAACTAATCTAAAGTAAACAATTAATCACATCTGAGTAATTAAAAGTTGCATCTTTTTGAATATTTACAGGGGGAAAATGTAATAACTGATCTGATTATATTTGTATCAAACAAGACCAATGGCGATGAACGTTGAAGATAATTATACATGTATTCCTATAATGTTTTGAACAAAAGATGGCGCTAGACTACATTTGACAAGTTGCCCCTTCGTGAAGGCAGTCACCTACCCGCTTATTACGAAAGGGGAATGCTTTTCGATATGTTTTTTTTTTTAGGAATCTTTAGGAAGAAGTAAAATCCGGTAAACTATCCGTAAATAACAGTTCTTTTGGAATGTCTTTCGACGTATTAGCTCACATTTATTTGTAAATCAATGGTTGATAAAATTAATATACAACATCCCTCTAAGAAAACCTTTATTTTTTTACAATTCGTGATTTTGTTTTCTTTACTTTCTTTTAAGAGGATGGGGATTTTTTAGGGGATGACCTTTAGCAAAATCTCTTATTTTTGTAAATAGTTTATTATTAGATAAAACAAAATATACAACATCCGTTATAGGCATACATTTTGCGAAAACTCTGGAATTTTTTTCTCAATCTTTTTTTAGTTTCATTTTTCAAAGGGAATGGGAGTCGGATGGCCTCAAAATTTTGCATTACTTTTAATCTTGAAAGCTATATTAAGTATTAACAAATTAGAAGTCTGTGCAAATACAAGGGAAATTAGTTTCAAATTTGTATATGAATATAAGGGTAATAAAAGAGTAGGAAGGAAAATAGACATTCTGCGATTATTTATGCATAAATGTTTGTTGCTTGCCAATAATGACTGGACATAACTTTACTTAAACTCACTATTAAATCATACTTTGAATGTGGGTCTTAGTTCAACATTGTATAACTTGGTAGCTGAAGAGTCAACTTTACATCTGAACAATGCAAGTCACTTCTGTCTCACTCAATGTTACTAATCATACGTTAGAGATATTATGTTACCTTTTTGGGGCTGCAATCAACAAGCAGAAGCCCGCTGAAGCTGCAACCATTCGACTATTAACCCTTATACATCATTATAAATATACATAATGCTGTTAACACAACCATATTATGGACAAACTATTGCTTTGAAAGATGATACAGTACAACCGAACTTTAATACCACATTTAAAATAAGGGGGGGGGGGGTTGACCTAGATTTTAAATGAAAAATAAATGAATGAAAAAACACCAAACATACTAATACATAATGCATGAAATTAATGGCAGGGAAAGTAAGAAGGCAAAGTTATGATGTTGT